TATCGCTATATTTGTGAGCAGCTCACTCACAACACACGTCAAATAAATTACTTTTTGCTTGCAGCCTAAAAAGAAAGGATTAACAAAACTGACAGCGGCATATTTGAAATTAAAATTTCTCGTTCCGACTCGTTTCAAAAAACACGGGAATTATGACGTCTCCGCCGGCTGACGACTCGATTGACCAGAAATTTGTGTTATTCTCGGAACTTTTTTTTGCCTCTAGAGCGCAAAAGGGCAATCAGATTCGGCCAAGTTTGGCAACTTGTACAACAATGGTCATGTTGAAAGGCACCGAGTTAATTATCATTGTAAAAAAAGAAACTCGAGGCATTGCTTAAAATATATACAACATTGTTTCAAGTCTTGTTCCAACCCCCATTTCTTGGTACTGGATTTGTAATTGTAATTTGGTTTTCGGGAAAGACATTATTTAGATGGAACCGCCTAACAAATTTTAGTTCAAACTATTCAATTTTGAATGGAATACAATAAAATTTGATCAACTTGTTTCAAATATTTAAAAAACCAACAAATCTTATTTTATAACTTTAAATAAAAAGATAATTTTGAACCTTTTGAACGCCATTTTGAAATTATTGAAAATATTATCAATAAGGCTCATTACGAAAAAAAAATTAAAATTGAATTTGAAAAAGACTCTCGGATTTATTTTCAGGATCATAAAAATTATATTTTTACGTTTTCCAGGGTCAACGACCTTTGCCTAGGAACTTGGTGCCCATAATGAAAAGATGCCTTGGTCCATCAGCTCAAACCTCCTACCGAGAAAACTAAAAAATCTTTAACAAAATTAATTTAGCAGCAGTTTTTGTTACCCTTATTTATCTTTGTCGGCCATATTGGAATTTTTCAAACATGAAGTTTATTATTATTTAAATTTTTTGTATTAATTACGATAACATAAGAATGAACTTATGAATTATCAAGACATTTTTTATTGCAAAAATCAAGTAATTCTAACAATAAGAGCTAGAAATTTAGCGGAAAAGAGAAAAATTGGAAAAACACGTTTTTTTTTATAATATAAAAAAACCTTCAATTAAACTTTTTTCGGAAATTTACGCAAATAATATTCTGGTTATCAAAATGATCCTTGTGGCCTTAGTTTTTTTTATGTAATATTTTGCTGCCCTGAGGTTTTTCCACCCTCTATGTAACTAAACAATGATTCGCTTTTGAAATTTTTTGTAATTTTCCACCTGGCTAGGAAGGAGATTATCTGCCGAGTTCATCTGAGGAAACACCTGGAACGCGCTGCAGAGTAAAACAATTTTACGTCTCGGGCAGATAATGACTGAGAAGGCAGCTTGTTAAACGGACACAATAAAGAAATAAAGCAATAAAATTTCGGTCGGAACCTACGCGCGCGCCCCGTTTTCTTCTTCCCCGCCGCACAGGGCGCGCGCGCACGTGCAGTACTTTTCGCCGCCGCGGCCATAAATTATACAAACATCGCGCGCTTTCAAACAACTTCTTAGAGAGAGAAACGGAACACCTGGCCGGACAAAATGTGTGCAACGAGATGGTAATTGCAGTCCGCCGATGCACTCTCGAGGGAAAAGCCAGCCAGCGCCTCCCCACGGGCGACGCTTTTTGGGTCAAAGCAGCGCCGCGCGATGCAGATAATGCATTATCAACCTTTGCCTCGCGTTTCAGTTTTTTTTTTCAAGAGCTTATCGAGACCTATTAAGTGTCGCTTTTATCGCTTCATTACGGTGAAATGAGACAACAATGACTTTAAAATAACTTACTTAATTCGAGGGTTTGATTAAATTCAATAAGTTTTCCTATAAAAAAATGTTCTAAATTTTGAAATACTCTTTCAGGTTGAAAATTGTATCAAACAATTTGACTCCACCTTAATCCAAAGCAAGGATGAATTATTGAGTGAGAGTTGGCCAAGGGTTATTGAGAGGGAAAGCTTTTCGGTCTCGATTTTCTCTACATATTTTCTTTTCAACGCAGCAATTAAGCGCGTGCGAGATAAAGCCAAAAGCTTATCGCCGCGCCGACTCTATTTTGAGAGATTTTGAACACACACGGGATTTAGCACTTTTCAAATGTTTTACTAGGTCATTCATGTAAGTTGTAATTAATCAATATAAAGCGCGGCGAGAACCTTGGGGCACGCCTTGCTTGTTTCGCAACGTTTCCGCCGTTTCTGCGCCAAATAAATCGACCCGGCCACGCGAATTCGTGTCCCTCCGCGTCCTAATGCATCGCACGAATCTCATTCCGCGCCTCCGAGGGCGATTTGCGCAACGTTTCATTGCTTCCAGTTTGCGGTCGCATTCGCTTTTTCTCTACAAATCGATTCAGAAAATGAGATCCAATCATTTATGTTTTTCATACATATAAATTTTGCAATTGTCCTTGCACAAAAGATTTTTTAGCATTGAAGCGGAGGTTCTGTCCGACGCAGTATTTCTGAAGAGACCTCAGGGCAGAAAAATCCTCCAATTGCTCGATGTTTGCAATGGGAGAATTTGATATTTCACAATTTAGTTATTAAAATACCAAAGATTTGCAAAAAATTCTTATTTGTCAGATTACAACATGGTCGGCGTAGATATAAAGAATTCACTAAAACAGCTTTCAAATCAATTTGAGTGAAGATTTTTCAATTTTCTTGGTGGTTTTTCTTAATGATTGTTAATGATGACCCTGGCAGAAGGTCAAAAGGGTGAGTTTTGCATTTGCAACCCTGGAGAATATGAAACCTGACAAAAAATTTGCAATTGCCAAAAGATTCATCATCGCCGTCCTTTTATATCGAAGCTAAAATTTTCAAAAAATGTTTAAAGAAGTTGTTTTCAAAATATTCATTTTAAAATGACTTGAAAACAGTATGTGATGATTGTTGCCGGTTGACTTAATTTTTAAGTTTTAAATAGAGAATTAATTTTTTTGGAGAAATTAATGTTTCCAATTAAAAATTGTAGTTTGGCCATTCTAATTCATTTTCCGAGCATTGCTTTTCTCAGTCAGTTTCTAAATCCATGTTAAATTTATTTTTTTTAAAGGTTTCTGATGAATTTTTAATTAGAAAAATGAGGTTTTTTTCCTTCATTCAAAATTGAATTATTTCAAAAATATTGCTTATTATTATTATTCCATTATTTTATACTTGTTTTTCATGAAAAGTCACTTCATGAATGAAGCTTAGACGCTACTTGGAATTCCTTGACATTTGTGGGCCGAAGAATGATCGAGATTGGAAAGCGTATAAAATTCGCAAATTTCCACTCGTAAATAAGCGGCGCAATTCGCTTTGAGCAATAAAAGGATTCGACTGAATCGAAGCAATAAAAAGACCGATCTGCATCTCTTTCCCTCGCGCCAATTTGCACGCAACACTCGCGGCCCTTGTTTTGTTTCGAGGAAGTCGGGATCGTCTTGCATATTAAATATCGCACTCGTTTCCTTTCCTGCGCTCAGAGGAATTTTACAACTCTAGGCGAAAACCAAATGATGTCAGACAGGCGGGGTGGGTTCGCCTTTTTACTGGCGTGGGCAGAAAATTTCAAATTTGACGTGATCACGAAGCGGCGGCGGCTCGCATCAATCAAATAAGAAAACGTCAGTCAGGTCAGCCCTAATTGGATATTTTTTTTCTTTTATGCGCCGTCACACATCAACTTTGAATAGAACAGGTGCTTTATTTTATTATTTTTTGCACACAAAAAGGAAAAAAAGGCCATTGTTTGGTTGGAACCAGTCCGAGTGCGTTTCTTTCGGCGCCTTCCGCTTTCACTTTCCGACCCGATATGAAAAATAGGCCAAGACTTCAAACGCCCGCCGACTCCATTAAATCGGCAAACGGCCCAGAACTAATTGCCAGTCTCAAAACAAAATCGTTTTCTTCTTCAAAGCACTTTTTTTAAGACATAAAACGTCAGTCTTTTTTTTCGGTAATTAATTATTGCGAAATGGTTATTTTTAATTTTGAGCAACGCCCTTTTCCTAATTGGGTCTGCAAGAAAATTTGCCCAAAAAGGTTCATTATCGCTGATATTATCAAAATAAATTCCACCTGCTACTTTTGAACAAGGTTGAGGTCGTTTCGAATGAGGTCGCAAACTCAATTTTCCAAGGAAATTGATAAACTTTAAAGATAACACAGGGAAATTTTGAAACAACCAGAAGTAAAAATAATTTTAGCTAAAAACAGACTTTGTTCAAAAAATATTTTATCATATCAAAATTTTAATAAATTATCGAGTTTTTCGAGCTCAGTTTTTACAATATCAATCACCTGAAATTGGCCTCACGTCAGACGTGATTTATTTTTCAATATCTATTTTGATTTTTTTTTCAGCTTTAAATTTGGTCTAGAAAGAAATATTTTCATTAAATTTGAGAAAAGCAGAAAAATCAGAACATAAATAAAGACAATTTTTCAAATTCACTTACATTTCATTTTCGCTGCATTAAATTCATTTTAATTTTCAATCTCCCCATTAATATTTTGGTTTCATTAATAAAAATCCACGAATCGGAAAACCTTGGTCATAAAATCTGACGTTTGATATATTTCATTGTGAAATATCATGGAAACGAACCAAAATTTTAAAATTTTCCATTTGGGAGGAAATATGATGTTGTTCTGGCCTTGGTGGGGACGCAGCAGCGAAAAATAAAACAAACTCGCTAAGAAAGCCGCGCGCGTTCTGACTAACAATCTAATTTAGTATTTCCTCTTTTCTATTTTTAGCGCGCCTTTATCACAAGACGCGGTCGTTTCTTTTTTTAAAATATAAAATTTCAAATAAATCATACAAAGAAAAACCCCTGCGACGGCGCAATTTATGCAACGAGCCGGGTGCAGGGGATGCGCGGGTTGCATCCCCTCTCTGGTTTGAAAAATATAATAATAATCAACCTGTTGCCGGCCGAGTGTATACGTGCGTCGGCGTTTTCAAACAAATAAGCTGCGAAAGAAAAGAGATAAAAAAGCGAGTTTCAAATAAACAAACCTGTCATTCTTCTGGAAGACGGGGAACTTCTGCTGGTTGAGCTCCTGGATGGTGCTGAGGCTCTGCGGCTCGGCCGAGATGCCCTGGGCCCGCTGCTTGCGGGGTCGCGCGGCCGCCACGGCCGAGCCGGCGTGGAACGGGAACACGCTCTGGAACTTGTCCAGGTGCGACCTGAGCTGCAGGATCTCCTCGTCCCGCAGCCGAAGCTGGTGCTCGAGCTCCTTGATGCGCTCCTCCTTGGCCGTGAGGAGGGCCTGCACGTCCAGGTTGTTGTTGTTGCCGGTGGCCGCGGCCGCCGTGTTCAGATTGGCCGCCCTGCTGGCCGCCACGGTCGCCATCGCTGCGTCCTGCTGCTGCTGCTGCGGCGACGTCGAGTTATTCACTTGAAGGGTGATTTTCGGAGACTGTCTCGGAGGCGCCGCCGTCTCGACGACGTCCTGCTCCCTGCGCGGAGAGAAGCACAACTTTTGGAAGCACACGAGCATTAATCGGCGCCCGCAGGGTCGATCGGTCGCCGAATGCGATCTGCCGCTGTCATAGCTCGGCCGTGCACTGCGCTTCCCAAACTCCTCCTTCTCGGATCGCTTGCGCTCGCTCAACAACAACAACTAATTAGTTAAGGAAACTTGCTGCTGCGCAAGGACGTCGTCGACGTAACTATGTCACTCGATCTATCCTATCTGGCGGACCCGTGTTTGCTCTCGGTCGGCAGCCAGGCGGTGTGACTTCCCAGTTCTGGCTGGCCCTGTTTGGATGTGGATGGACTGCCCTGCGCTGCTGCTCGGTCTGGAGCGGAGAGGAGGGGGGTGTGGTGGCGGGAGCTCCTTCGTAAACCCCAGGTACTCTGCGAATTCAAACGCGAAAGACTGCATTAATCGTGAATTATTAAAAAAAAATTATTTTACCTTGAAATCTTTATTCAGTTTAGGAATATTTTGCCCTGATAAAGCTGAAACCAGACAAATTCGGAAACTCCAGTCCAAAATCCAATGTATAATATGTTTATCAAGGAGACGAATGATATTCTCGTGCGTTGCCATCATTTTATTCGATAATTTCGTGTTGAAACTTATAAAAATATTCAATAAACAATTAAAATAATATAAATCATTGAATATAATTTAAAGTGGGAGTAAATCCACGCAAACTAATTTAAACGTTTACCTCCTTTCCGTACACTCCAAACAGCGCATGCGCAGTGTCCATCTCGCTTAATCCTTTGAGCCCAAGCACTTCCCCTCCTCCCTTTTCCCTCCCAAAAAGTGCTTTCCAGCTCGCGGTTTTTGCGGTGAGGAGCGAGAGTGTTGCTTTCTGGTGTTGTCACTGTTGTCTTATCAGAATCAGAAGGCGTGTTGTGTTTGGATCAAAAATTTATTTTACCCGGAAAACATTGCAGTCGTCGTTTTCCTCCTCGATCCTTCTCACAAGAAGTACCAGGACGAAAATATTAATATTTTCCAGCAAGACTGCGCGGCCCTCGAGAGAGTCGGCCGCCTTGATGGCTCGATAGCCGAATTTTGAGCCGCGGTTTTGCCGAACACGTCCGTGCCGATGGCAGATCGCAACGTCAAATTGATTGGCAAACTCATGCGAAAGCCTGGCAATTCCGAGTGCAACGAGTGCGGCAACAAAAGTGAGTCGGAAAATAACAATTGCTGCCCACGCGTTAATTAAAATTGCATTTGAAACGTTTGTTTACATGCGGGTTTGAATGAGATGCAAATTTTTTAAATGATGCAGGGTGTGTACATCACAAAAAAGGATGGACATTTTCCTGTTGTCTATAATAATCTTGAACTACTTTTGCTTAATTTTGTTATGGAAAAGAAGAAGTAAATTAAATTAATCTGCATAATTATGCACATCTCTGCATAATTATGCAGATCTCGACACTATTATTAAGTGGAACAATAAATCCTACACTTCATTGATTAATTACATGAGTATCCTTGTTTGGACAGATTTGAAGCAATTTAAACTTTCGAAAATTATTATTCGTACATTAAATCCTGCTTTTATGGTTTATAATTCCATCTTGGCGCATTATTAATTTCTCCTCGTTCATGACACGTTCAGAGGCAAGACCGCACTTTAAGGCTGGGCAGGAAAAGTTAAGATTAACTTGACCGCAACGTTAAATGCTCGGTATAAAAATAAGATTTGACTGAAAAACTGAAAAAAAAATTTGTTGCAGATCCGGAATGGGCGTCGTACAACATTGGCGTTTTTCTGTGCACAAGATGCGCAGGCATCCACCGCGGTCTCGGCGCACACATTTCCAAAGTGAAGCACCTGAAGCTGGACAGGTGGGAGGACAGCCAGGTGGAGCACATGAAGGAGGTCGGCAACGTGGCCGCCAAGCTCAAGTACGAGGAGCGCGTGCCGCCCTGCTACCGACGGCCCACAGAATCCGATCCACAGTAAATTTTACCCTAATTTCATTTATTTTTTTTTCTAAATACAAAATTCAAATTTTGCCAGAGTGCTGTTGGAGCAGTGGATCAGGGCCAAGTATGAGCGGCAGGAGTTCAGCCACCCTGAGAACCAGGTGTACACCTCTGGCTACATGCAGGGCTTCCTGATGAAGAGGGGAAAGGACGAGAGCAAGTACCACCCCCGCCGCTTCATTCTGCAGGAGAAGGACGGCACACTCAGATATTTTGTTAAGGAGGTCAATAATCTCCAGGTCGAATTTTCAGTCCGGTTTTTAAAAATTCTTATATATTCCAGAAAAAGGAACCAAAGGCAATACTTAATGTGATTGATCTCAACGTGGCGTTTGCGCCACCAAAACTGGACTGCCCCAACTCGTTGCAGTTCAGCTTCATCAAGGACGGGGTCACCAGACACATTTACGTCTCCCACAACGACCCCGAGGAGATAGTCAAGTGGTACACGGCCATCAGATGCGTCAAACTGCACAGGCTGCAAGTCGCCTACCCTTCCGCTTCGGAATCGGAGGTAATTTTCAATAAATTTCATAAAAAAAAAAATATTTAATGAAAATATTCCTAGCTGGTGAATTGTTTGAGCCGGGACTTCATTCGAGAAGGGTGGCTCTCGAAAACGGGTCCGCGACCTACGGATAGCTACAAAAAGAGGTGGTTCACCCTGGACGACAGGAAACTGATGTACCACGATGACCCAATGGTAGAGTGAAGTTTTTCCTTAATTTTTGTTTAAAGAAAATTTTATTATCCTGGCAGGACGCACATCCGAAAGGAGAAATCTTTGTGGGCTGTTCTAGTGACGGCTACGCCATCAGGGTGGGGGTGCCACCTGGCGCGAAGGAGCTCGAGTTTTGCTTCACACTGCAAACACCTGGCCGCTCATACCTTTTATCCGCAACTACCGACGAGGAAAGAGACAAGTGGATGACGGCCATCGAGAAAGTAATAGAGAAGAGTCTGACACCCCAGGACAATTTAGGTGGGTGGTCGCAATGATTCAGCATGGTTTTCATAATTGGAAGAAAAAAAATAGAACTTTTATGCTCTTGTGGGGAATTAGATAAATCTGTTGTTATTTGTGCTGTTACAGTATTTCTTAAATTACAAGGTAGGCCACACACTCTTTCATTCGTAGTAGATTTGCAAAATTATTTTTGTTATCGGTGTTGAAATGCATTCGTCTTGGAGGAAAATATTGATTTTCTTGTTTTTGCAGTTGCGTCGAGAATCGTTTCAAAGAAGAAGGGCTCGAGCGGACTATTTTGACAGAAGTAATATATAGAGAAGCCATAAAACTGAGCTTACTAACTTTTTAGTAAGACCCAACCATAAAGCAACATGTGATGCAATCAAACTATTCAACTGTTGTTCTTTTTATTGAAATCTTGACCGATTAAATAATTTTTAGTACATAGCATGAATTAATTAACGATTTCTGTTCCAATTATTCAAGAACAAAAATTCGCTACATATTTATCATAATCAGATAGAATTGGTTGACATTGACTTTTGCTATAAAATAAAGATTTATTATAAATAATCATAGGATTATACTAATTTGCTTAATGGAGTCGCTTTGATAATTAATTTAAATTGCATCTTTATTCCGTGAAACATAAAAAACCTGTCAAATTTCGACTTCAATCTCCCTCCTCCGTTTGAAGTTTCCAAAGAGGTCCGAAAGTGCGTTCGTTCCTTTTGGTAAAAATAAATACAAAAGCTCTTTGGTCTTGTTTGGGGCAGGAATGGTTTTATGGCGTTTGAAACAAACATCAAAATCCTGCCTATATTTTTTTCATTTATGTCGAATTTCGCCCAAACTCTGAGCCCGCATCGACGCAGTCATGAAAAAACTATTCGACGGCGTTGTGAGTATAATTTTCCGCTCCGTTTCTAGCGCGGAAAACGACCGCTCCGGCAAACAAAACAAACCCTGCGCTGGCTGAAGGGGTCGAGAACAATATTTTCTGCCAAACAAATACATAAGTGTTCGATTTTCCTTGTTTTCGAAATGCGAACCCAAGGAGTGCGAACCGTTCTCGGCCGAAAAAAGACGCCACATCCAAGCTAAATTTTTGTTGGGAAATTTCACATCAGATTAGTTTGTTTTCAAAAACTTCTCACTGCTGCATTATATGTAGGTCGCGTCGGTCATAAGACTTCTCAAGTAGATTTTATTTGCTGCTAGTTTTCGGCGCAGTTTAAATTCGACCTACATTCTTTCTAGACAATATTTCCACCCTTTTTTTTTTAGGGATATTTGAATAAAAAGTTTCAAAATCACTGCTTCTCTGTTAAAGAGAATCTTTTCATCTATAATCTCTGCCAAATTTTCCAGAAATCGGACATAAATAGTGGTAGAGAAGAACCGCCGTCCTCAGGATTCCATCAGATGGCCAAGCCAGCGGCGTCCATGCCCGTCTCAGTTCCGGCCAACCCTCGGGAGGAGAGTTTGGCTTCATCGTCTGGCGCCTCGGTCAACAGCAATATCACATTCAGTGCCCCCAGTTCGGTGAGCAGCAGCACAAGTCCTCAACCGGCCAACAAGAGATCTGCAAAGGACTTCATTTTCGGCAAAGTCATCGGCGAAGGGAGCTTTTCAACGGTTTTGCATTTCCATCGAAACTCTCCAACTTTGATTTTATATTAACCTTTGGTTTTAGGTTTACTTGGCCAAAGACATTCACACGCACAAGGAGCTTGCCAGTATGTACATGTGAACTTGCAATTATTGTGATTTCATATTTTTGATCTTGTAATTTTCAGTTAAAGTTTGCGAGAAGAGGCACGTGATTAGGGAGAAGAAGGTCGAGTACATAAAAAGAGAGAAAGAAGTTCTCAACATTCTGAGCATGAATGTCAAACCAACTGGGCCTTTCTTCGTCAAACTGTTCTGCACCTTTCAGGATGCTGATAGACTATGTAAAATATTCCACAATGTTGGCAAAATTTACTATAATTTCTGGTCTTTCTACAGATTTTGCTTTAACCTATGCTAAAAACGGAGAGCTTTTGCCGTACATTACAAGAGTAGGATGCTTCGATATTGACTGCACTCGATTTTACTCGGCTGAAATTTTGCAAGCTCTAGAACACATGCATTCATTAGGAATCATACACAGGTATGACAAAATAAAACACTATTAGGCTTATTAAAAAAGAAAAATATTTGCAGAGATCTAAAACCAGAGAATATTTTACTGAACGAAAACATGCACGTTCTCATCACTGACTTTGGCTCGGCCAAAATCCTCAACCAGGCTCACCCTAGTGAAGATGCTGAAAGTAATTATAAAAAATTAATCACCATCGATAGTTTATAACTTTTTGACAGACGAAGAGAGAGCCATTCGGAGGAGAAACAGTTTTGTGGGGACGGCGCAGTACGTTTCACCCGAGCTTTTGACAGACAAAAAGGCAAGTCCGGCTTCGGACTTGTGGGCCCTCGGCTGCATCATCTACCAAATGGTGGCAGGAATCACTCCATTCCACGCAGGGTCAGTCTTGGTTATTTTTGAAATTTTGGTTAATTAAAACTAATCTGATAACAGGAGCGAGTACATGATTTTTCAAAAAATCTTGAAACTGGACTACTTCTACCCAGACGGATTCTGTGCAAGTGCAAAAGACTTGGTTGAGAAACTCTTGGTAATTTTTCTTTTTTCATTATTTGCCTTGACTTAATGCAATCACAGATTATAAAAAATGTAAATTGTTTCGTATCAAACTAATCCATAACTCATTCCAAAATTTGACATGACAGAAGAATTTTTTTTGAAATGTTCAGTATCCATTTATTCAGTCTACACTATTTTTTTTTCAATATATAGCTAAATTTGAATTAAACATGTTAAAATTAATTTGGAATGCATTCGAGTGATGTTTTCTCAGATCAGAGGGCCAAAAGGTGCCATCATTGGTCTGAGGGTCAGCAAGCCATCTCTGAGGGATGGGCTATAGAATATTAATCAATGCTAATACAATTTTCCGCCTCCTATCTTATAATACTATGCCAATTGCTACTATTTCACTTCCTGTTTTAAATATTTAACCTGTCGTTTGTGGAATAGCTGGGAACAATTCATTCGATTATAAATGCGCTTATTGTTACATCTTTGCATTAAGATTCAAATTTGTTTTACTTTAAATTAAAAATTTATGTTTTGGTGTCCCGTGTCTCTCTGTTTAATTTTAAACTTAAAATTCATACCAAATTGAAAACAATTGATTTTTTTCCTGTATTGGTAGGTGTTGGACGGCTTGAAAAGGTTAGGTGCTGCGGACGAGACTGGCTATCCGTCCATCAAGTTGCACCCGTTCTACCAGGACATCGACTTTGACAGTCTGTACTGCCAGACGCCTCCTGTCATTTCTCCCTATTTGCCAGGAACCTCCAGTCACGAGGAGCTCAGAAGCAATAGTCAAATATGCTGTGTATGTTGACAGATTTTTTTTAAATGATTTGTATTAATTAATATGTTACAGGGTATTCCGGATAATATAGAGCCTGGTCTGGACGACAGGCAACTGACAAGATTACTAGGACTAAATTTAAGAGAATCGACTCCGTTGAGCAGTGTTCCCGAGTCGCCAGCACCCGTTCAGGAAAAGAGCAGATCTAAAATCTCCAGTTTCTTTCATTTGTCTGATGAAGAGGTTTGTCCGATTGATTGAAAATCTGAAATATTTAAACTAATCTTTTTTTCAGTTGAAACAAAAGTTGGAGGCGCAAAAGGCGTCTTCAAAGTGGAACTGCTTCGTGGAAGGAAACCTGATTCTGAAGCAAGGACTCATTGACAAACGCAAGGGGCTGTTCGCCAGACGGAGAATGCTTCTGTTGACCATGGGACCTCACCTTTACTACGTCAACCCCACCAACATGGTTTTGAAGGGCGAGATTCCCTGGAGTTCCTCCCTCAGGGTCGAAGCCAGGAATTTCAAAATCTTTCTAGTTCACACGGTAATTTGAAATTTTATTAAAAATCATAGTTTTGAATTAAAATGGGAATCGTTTTGCAGCCAAACAGAATATACTACCTAGAAGACCCTGAAGGTTACGCCTTGGAGTGGTGCAGAGCAATCGAAGAAGTGAGAAAGCTAACCTACGGACCTGATTCGTAACTAACACTCTATGTCTAAGCCCAGAAAATATTATTTTAAGTTATTCAATATTTATAAAATGCAGTTGAAAGCAATGAAAAAAAAATAATAAATTCATAGTAAAACTCTAGTTACTCTACTTTCTTGATTTTAACTTACACACAAAACCGACCGATATTACTGTTTTTTGTTCTAAACTAATTAGGTTGTAATCATTATTTCTCTTTCTTAAAATTATTGTTTTAGGAGAGAGTGTTAAATATAATTATTATTGTTCATTCTGGCGCCTAAAATGGTTCAAATTGTCTGTGGAACTTGAAGAGTCGTCTCCAGTGGCTAAGTGGAGTATGCTCTTGCCCTCCATCCCGGAGATTGTGGGTTCGATTCCCACTCCAGGCGGATTTTTCTTGGGGGAACCTGAGTGATTTCTCATGCTGGGACTGCGAGTGAAGGGTTGAAAGTCGGCCGGGGGCCGCAGGATTTCGTGTTGAGAAGGGTGTTTGCATTGCACCCTAGTTGTACGCAAAAGCGTTTAATACAAAATCCTTTAAAAAGAAGTTTAAATTCGAAGCGCTGCCAAACTCGTGCTGACAATGAGCTAGTTTTTGAGAGAGAGTTCAGCTCAGATATTACAGATGTAGTGAATGTCCACTTGAGCGCCGTGTTTTGATCTGCTTTTGTTCATTTACATTTGTTTCCGCTAAGGATGAGTTTTGTTGTTGTTAAAACAGTAGATGACGGTCGACGCATGACCAGCAACAACAATTGCGGTCTTGGATGCTGCCGAATATTTATGAGATACATTATGAGACCGACGCCTCTTGAGATAAAAGCTTTTTGTATTTTGCCTCCGCACGCCAAGCACTGCCATCACATCAAATAATTATGTTGTTCTTTAGATAATAGAAAAAAGTTTCAATGGAATTAATTTAAGAGACCAAATTTTAAATACAAGATTGAATCTACTATAGAGTAATCCAATGAATGTAATTACTGCATTTTAAGAGCACAGCCTCCGTACGCCAAGCGCTGCCTCCGTACGCCAAGCGCTGCCTGTTTAAAATTGTGTCTTAATCGAAAAAAAAAAATGAAAATTTTCCATGCAATAAATTTTACAGAGAAATAAACACGTTTTTCATAGGGAAGAAAAAATTAGAGGAATTTCCGAAATAGTTGATTTGTCTAAAATCGCTCGGAAATTAATTTTCGACAATTTAATTTTTTTTCTCTCTACCAATAAAATAAAAAGGATCTAATTCACTTTCAATTATCAGTCGGACCCACGTACATCATCCGGTTGCCTTGCGCCGAGTGATTCAAAAGTTATTTATACATCTTAATGCGCTATTTATTTTATTTCACCTGTGTGTACAGAACCTCGAATGCGTCTCGCGAGACGCTCCTCTCGTTTTTTAAAACTGCCTTGCCCTTGAAAAATCCTCAAAACATTTGCCGACTCACGAAGCTTTGGGCAGGATAATTTTTTAGTCTGACACCTGCATGCACACTCAATTCGTGCCAAAAAGGTTGTAGTAGAAATTGTTATTAAATGACAGGAAAATAAAATAAAAAATGAGCAAAACTTGCGGTGTTAAAGATAAGACTATGGTTGCAATAAGCGGAGTGAACTGTCCAAGCTGACTCCAAGGAGAATTAATTTATTTACTCACTATACTTCTAATTAAAAAATAAATATGAAATCGTACATTTTAAGGGAAACTTTTTGACAGAAGCGGCTAGCAGGAGGTAATTGCTCAAATTTTCATGGTGCAACCGCTTTTGTGTAAAAAGTGGAACATTTTATAAGGAGGGGCTTTTGAATTTAATAATTTATTTCTCTATGTAATACCATTAATCAAAAAGAATGCATAATGAAGATCTCATTTTTAAAGCAATAATTATGATATCTTTTAAAAAAAGAAACTTTTTTCGGCCTAATTTGTTTTTAAATAAATTTCTCCACATAATAGAAGTGTTGATTTATTAGGTTCTTTTAAATTCTTCGGTGAACTTCCGCGCTATTCTAAAAAAATCTAGCAAATTATACAATTGTATATATATTTATGTACTTTGTGTTGTGTGTCTACTCGGCGCGTTTTCTATCTGATCAATCTGATGCCAAAGGTTAATCTTTTTGCACCAACAGCGCGCGTCTCAAATTGCCAGCGCAAGCGCGTCTTTTTATTTCAATCAAGAGGACGCGATCCCTTTTATTTTATCAATTTCTATTCATACCTCAGATAAAAAAGGGTCTTTGCAGTTTAGTTATTTTAATACTTCTGCTATTTGAAAAAAAATACAGTTAATTGATTTGCTTCTCTAATTATTATTGTGCATCAGAGATTCAGCTTCATCAGAGGTAGACTAAATTTACAATGAAATATCTTTGATATTTGCTAATAAAAATTATAGGCCAAAATTCATTGACCTCTTGTTAAAACGCGGACCGATCCTTTCCTTCTCCCCCTCCTTGGCGCTTGGCAAGTTGCCTGACAATGTGAGAGAAGAGAGAGGAGAGAGAGTTTTGAGTTGAGATTGAAGTTCAGTTGGTATGAACATGAACGCTGTGCTGGGCGAGTGGTGTGTCTCATGACTCATATCCGATGATTTGCATTAATTTGCCTCCGCCATGGACAAGGAAAAGTCTATGTCAACAAGGTCTATGTTATGTGGTAGAATAGTGAACGACATTCGCGTAACAGGGCAACGAATTGCGCTGCGGCTTCCAGTTGGTTCGTACGAATACTTATTTTTTTGGTACGCATGCCATATGTGTTTGTGGATAGAAAATTTGGTCGCAAGAAATGTTTACTTTTCGTCTGATATTAGATAATTTTATTTTCTCAATCAATTATTATTTATTCCGAGTATAAAACTTTTGACGCCGCTTAAAAATTTTGTAGTTCAACTGCCGATTTTCTCTCATTCACTTGCGATGAAGTCTCGATTGATTTAAAATTCAAATGCACGTTTGCTTTACAAATTTATAAGGATAAATACAAAATGTGTATTAAACTTGGATGTGCAAGAGGCACAGGAATTGAGCTCCCCACAGGCAAGAAGCGCATTTATTTTTTGCCTGCACCCCCCTTTTTCTCTGTAGTCTGTTTATCTCTTGCGGGCGGCCTTGAAAATCCCTCTTCATTGTAAACTTTTGGTAGATTGACCAACGCACGAGGGAGAAATAGGGAGGAAAAAATTGTATGGTTTGCCCTCCTTACAAGGGGATGTAGAGCGCGCCCTGCAACCGAGTACATAATATTCCACTTAGTTAAAAGATGTTGTTTTTCTTTTGCTCTTTTATACACATTTTTCGCTCCCTGCTCAATAAATGAGGATTTTTCCTTCTCTGAATGGTCAGAAATCAAAATTTAATTAATCTTTTTTCTCATTTGAAAATCTTATTCGCACCTGAAGACAATTCTTCACATTTCAAACCTCTCTAATAATATTACATGAATTATTAGAATTAACTAAATGTTACTACAGTAAAATTCAGTGAAATGCAGAATTAAAATTCTGCCTGGATGAAAAATTTTACTTTTAATTAAAAAACTAAAGATCAAAAGGAAAAAAATTATGCTTTATCAATGTAGGCTAAAAAATCTCCAAATATGATTTTCGAACCGCAGCGTCTTGCTCACCTTGAAAAATTATTCTGGAGGAAAATGTTTAAAATAATATTGTGTGTGTAAATTGCGCATTGCCTGCAGCTTTTGTACATTTTTTAAGAGTTTCTGGTTGGCAGTGAAAATTTTGTCATTTTATCTGGACCATTTTGTGTACCAGAAAGAAAAATAAATACACTGTAGGAAAAATCGTGGAGCTTGAATGAATATCCTTTAAATTGAGCATGAGCATTGAGCACCCTGCAAGTGAGCATGCTCATGAGCAACACTAGTTGAGCAGATGAAAATGCTCATGCCCAGAAACCCTGTAAAAAACTAAAATGTTTTAAAATAGTAATAATTATAATGACTAATGACGATCTTATTAATTTGTATTTATTAACACCAGTCATTTTATTATTTCAATCATATTATGAATGAGTTGATTTTTTTTTTAATTTTAACAAATTTAATAACATTTTATATAACTCTCAGGACAAAATATTAACGATTACTTTTTTATTTGAACACTTTTCTTAAATAGCTCGGAAAGATTTAAATTATTTATAATTTACGCGCAAGATGATTAAAAGTCATATTATCACTTAATTTGTGTATAACATTCTACGATCACGCTTTTTTTATCTGCTGCTGCGGTTGCCCTCTGAAAGCATGAATCACTTTCCTCCAAATAAGACTCGTCTGGAGAGCTATTGAAATTTTATTTGGCATTCACCATTCACCATATGCAAAGCACAAAATGGCCAACACATGTGCTTACGGTGCACAACGAAGGATTTATTTCCGTTATTAATTATTTTTTTTTGCTCGTGAAAAGATTGTTGAAAAAATATTAATCAATATCTATTTATATAAATTTAATTCCAAATTTTTTTTATTCGAGCACAGGTTTTGGTCTCTTTAAATTCTGGTTCTTTTTTACGCGGTGGAAATGATTAATTTTGAACATTTTCAGAAAAACCACTTCACTGCTCTTCAGTATAATATATGAATTATGGCAACTTGCTGCATCGCCTGCATCTCATTACTTCTAATCTTGGCCTGCTCAAAATCGGACGCCGCTGACAGTATCTGTGGGGTTGGAGAGCTAAATGAAACCACCAAAGCATATCCTTGGGACGTTGAGCTTGTTCAGGCAGAACGTAAATTCAGCTGCCCTGCCAAGATAATATCCAACACACAAATCTTGGCCCGTAATTTCAATCTGCAGAAAAATTAATACAACCAAAAGGATTAAAAAATCTTTTAATTTAAGCTAGCAGCTGCGTTCTCAATTACGACGACTTTGAAGTTTACAGTCCTGCTGGATATCCTCTTTCCAAACTCACCAAAGGAGTAAGAATAATTTCCTCCTGTTAATTAACATAACATTTAATAATTTAAATTTTTTCAGCTCACGCGGGATAAAAACTTTTACGGAAATGGAGTAACATTTCGTTCGGAAGAAGAAATGGATATGACGGAGTATAATATGCAACCAATTTGCGTCATAAGAACACTAGACTCTGCCGTGCATCTTGTAAAATATATTATTTCTGCACAGGATTTTTCTGTCTTGTTTCCTGAAAATGGTGCAACAAGCCAGATTGAGAACGCTTTTTCGGAAAGTGAAACAAAATGCATGTGCAAGTCGGGAAATATGAGGAGCACTAGATATGACACTTATTTTTGTGGTAATAATACTTGAGCAGTGATCTTGATAAAATATTATTAACATTTAACTTTTGTTTAGTTGGAGAAGTAGGAAGTAACGTGACATTGGACACAAGCAAGAGTTCCTTTTTGATTGGCAAAGACGAAAACGACAAATATTATCTTTGGGGAATTAGCCTGAGTGAAAGTCGCAAACCGTGCAAAAAAAGTGACGGCTATTTCCGAATGTGCTGTGCATATGAAAACTTCAACAATTCGGTGCAATTTCTATCAACCAACTCCAATCCAACTTCAAATACCGACACCCTGAATGACAATCCACCTTACGATTGGAAACTTGCTTTCGTAGTCATATTACTGGCATGTACTGTTGTATTAACAATTGTCGTATGTTGTTTGAAAAGAAAGATCTTGTTTCTGAGAAAACGATTGTGGATTTCCCAAAATTATCCTCATAATCATGCAAGGCCAGAAGAGGTCGCCGAGTGCTAAGAAAGGATGTAAGAGTAATTCAATTTCACCCTCGCCCTAAAAATTTTTTACGTTCTAAGTTTTTGACGCATACCTTTTTTTGAGAGCTTCTAAAAATGGAGTTTCTGATAGTTTAATATGCAAAAATAAATCAGCTGCAATAAGTTGCAAATTATATTTTTAAATGGTATAATGTTATGAAATATTGTTGTTTATTCGCCACAATTGAATACTAATTTTGAGGAAAAAACTTTCATGATGAGCGTTTTAAATTTAGTCGCTGCTTTATTTCAAATTCTGTCACAAACGGGAGGCGCGGATCAAACAAATCTGCCAAACACAATTATTCCGCTCAACAAAATAATTAACGTTGAACTTTCCGCATTTCTCCAACAATCTCAGAGATAAAGTTAAAATTAAGAAAACAAATTCCACTTTTTTTTATCATTGTGCATGTATTGAAGTTGAATTGTAGGTTTGCTGTGAGCATGTTTAATTCCTCTTCGAATTTATAAATTCGTTTTTCATTGATTTTCCCCACCGGATTTTTTGTGCATGGAACTCATTTAAAATGAATATATACTATGTAGTGGAATATTGAAGAGCAGAAAAATTACAATAAAAAATGCTTAAAATGGCGGTAAACAAAACGACATTAACTGATTTTAATTTGGAATTGAATTTTATTGCGCTTCAAATTTGGCTAAAATATAATATATATTTTACAGGCGCAAAACACAGTAATTAAAGGTTGTTAAAAATCTTGTTTATAAAATAATAAAGGCGGAAGATATAATTATAATGTTAAAAGTGTGCTGTTCATTATAAAAAAATAATAATTAAATTTTTTGATTGTATTATTCTGATGCGCGAAATGCCGCATCTGATGCTGTGTTGTGCAATATAATGACAGATTTAGACATTAGAGTTTTTCTAGACTGATACATATTTTTTGAAACATTTAACTTCATATTTGTATGTACCATAAATCTGAATGATCGTAAAATATTGCTCATCGATCAACATTTATGATGTCAATAAAAAAAACTTTATTATTATTTACGTCTTATTTCAATTGAAATTATATTCGTAGAACACTTTGCATTTCCAAAAAGCTGACTTTAAGGTTTTTACACACGCATTTAATTAGGCGGGCAGAAAAATTGCCAATATGGTTTGCGAATAAAAAATATACTTCAGAAGGGTAAAAGAGTGTCTTGACTTGTCATGACATCATGCACACACAAATTTGTTAATTGGACGCGGAGACAATACCAGACCTTAATATGATGTTTCTCTCTCGCAACTGATGTTCATGTGTCACTTCAATCTTTGCGCGACTTCCTCTGCTCTTTTATTGCTGCGCTGAAGAAAAACGGATGAGATCATCACATTATTAAATGAAGCTGTGTTCGTTAAAATTCATGATGCTTGTCAAAACCACGCACCGCCAACCGCTCACACTCCCAAATATATTTATTTTAATTCTCAGATAATTGTTAGTGTGCGTGTGTTTTTTCTGTTCATATTAGTGTAGAGTAGTGTTTTGTTTGTGTTGCCAAATGTTTCTCGCACAGTTTCAGTAAATCCACGGAAAAAACCTCTTAAAAAAAGATTTATTTTACTTGTTGCCAACACTGGTAGGCAGGGACAGCAATGAATAATCGTCATTTTATTTGATTGAAATTAAAAAATCACACTTTTAATTTAATATTTCTTTCTGGGCTCCCATAATTATATATGCTAACACATCGCTGAAAAAAGTTGCTCGAAAAGGGTCGAGTTCTGGTCTGGTTAGATATTTTGCATACGTTTCATTTATCGTAGAGGCTTGAATGCTGCAAACATTGTCACTTTTTTCAAGGAATTGCGCGCTCCACTCGTTTTTTTTTTTTTTTTGTTCGTAGTCGGCGGTATTTTGTTCCGTTGATCTTATTTCAATATACGTGCTCCTAGAATATCAAACAAATTTCTAAACGCTAAATAAATTTTTTAAATTAATTAACTCCAAGCTGTAATTCTATTTTATCAAGTCATTTGGAAAATATTTTTGACATAGAGTTATCTAATTGTAAACAAAATTTAATTGGGACGTACATATAACTCCGATGTTTTTATTTTTAGTTGCGAATTTTTAAGCCAAAAAGAACAAAAAGTCAACGAAAATTAAAACTTAAAACGCGCATATACGTCACATTAAAAGAATTGTGCACAGGCGTTGCATCGATGTAAAAACGGCAGCGGCCCCTTTGCATGTTTTAATTTCCACATACAGACTTTTATTAACACAGAGAGATGGAAATTCTAACAGCTAGGATTCCAAAAGGGAAACAGAATAAAATACAGAATAATATTTTATATTGCCAATAAAAAATTTATATAATCTTTAATTACCATTTTTACTATAGAGCAATGTGGAGTTCCCTCTTGAGAATACTTTTAGATCAAATAAATCGAGGGCCTCGTAAAAAAGTATCACATCTGAAATTTAATTTTTGTGTTTTAAAAGTTGGTCGTCAACTCGTCAATCCCTGTCTAAAAATCTATAACATTCCGTGATGTACTGTTGTAATATTCGCATGAAATAATAGCGCGTTTCCATCTGGTGTCAGAGGCCGAAACTGTTCACTTGGCGCGAATGGCGCTCTTCCTTTTTCGTCTTACATATCGCAGCAGGTACGTGTGCGTCAATTTTCATCCAAAAAATGAATCATTTTATTTTACATTTCAAAGTGAATCTTACTTTCAATCTCCGCAAGTGAAATCCTTAGAAATTTTCATTTAAAATTCATTTTTTTGATTTAATCATCTTAATTCTGACATTCAAAGCTGGCGATATACAACAAAAGTATTTATTTTCGTAATATCGTGAGTGTAGAATCATGACATCAAGAAAAGAGTCTTTTTTCCTGCGAAGGATCATCGCTCAATTGCAAGAAATCCCTTAGGTTTCGGACACGCACCTGCGGAACATTTTTACTTTGATTTATTTTAAAACTCGCTTAATTACATATTGAAATGTTTAATGAATGGTTTAAAACCGCGATTGGTAAATTTACGACCTTTATTTTCTCTCAGCCATGCAAGGGGGAAGGCAATCCAATTTCCATAGCCTGAGTTGCTCTTTCTCACTATCGCTGCACAATCCTGTTTGGGCGCAATTCTCCTTTGCATCACTAATCAAATACTGTAAGCCGCGGGCTGTAAGGAATAAGGAAATGCATTTTTTAGATCATAATATTTAATTTTAATATATATCTAGTTAAAAAACTCTCGTTAAAAATGGACCCTATAGATTAATATACATGCAAATATTTACGCTACAAAATACTGAGCCGCCCGTTTTGTAAAATGAAAAAAATTAAAGCGCAGCTTAATAAAATAAATTATATTTACCAAAGACAAAAAATTTGTAATATCCGTCTTCTGAAGGGTTTGCCTCGTAGTACCAACTATCCTGGAAAGAATTTGAATGAGCCTCAGCACTGGCCACCGTTTGATTCAACTTGAGGGAGAAAAACAAGAAACGGTCACCGCTCTGCAAGATTGCTCTGCCCAAATCATTGTGCCTGATGCTCCAAAGGTCATCGTTTGAAGATCCTTGGCCAACCGAGGTCACGGCGGACAATCCGTCGTCAACCAACACATCTGGCAGAACTCTGAGGGCCTCACCGCTCAAACGATTGATCAACCTGCAGCTTGAAGTGTCAGCCAGAGTGAAGTTTTGAGCCCACTTCGGAGCCTCTTGGATTATCTTCTCGCACATTTGCTGGTCATCAACGACCTCTTGGGCATTTTCCGCCGTTTTCAGAAACTGAGACACCTGCGAGAGAATGATACCCGTGGAAGGCAAATGTGACATATTTCTTTCTCGGAGGTACGACCAAAGTTCGTTTTGAGTCCTACAGTGGTTGAAGCCGGTCAGCTGCGATGTTGCGGCGAAGCCTTGTTTTACGTATTGTCCAGTCACGGTAACTTTGATGGCGAAACGCGTAATTTCCTCAAACTGGCCTGACCGAGGAGAAAATGAGTTCGATTCGAGAATGTCCAGCAACATGTTTCTGGTGCACTCTGTCAGTTGATTCTGAAACTCTGTGTCTGCTACTTCTTCGCTCTGTCTCTGCAGTCGACGATAAGCAGCATTAATTTTCTTGAACCAAGGACTGCACTGCATAGTGTAAACATTTTCCGGAATCGCTTCTTTGAGAATGGGCAAACGGATCAAGCTGGACAGATAAAACTGCAGGGTCTGACAAGGAGTCAAGGTTTGGTTGCTGTAATTGATGAGCTGGTCGTAAGCTAGTTGAATTTGGTTGCAGTATATTTCCTCGCCACGCAAGAAGTACTCGACATATTTGGCCACGCTGGAAGTTTCGTTCTGCACGTATGGCAGGTAGTAAGAGAATATTTCAGGGAGGAAACGATTGAAGCTTCTAAGCACCGCCATCAGTGTTGCAAATCGCCTCGTCTTGAGGCTTGGCCGAGATGAGAAGGAAACTTCTGACACGGCCTCGCGCACAACAAGCTCCTTCGCAACGTTCAAATCGATTAAGAGTGATAACATTTCGTTTTGCTTTGTAGCCGATGGTTCGAAAAAGTTGCCACTATCGATAAAGCCTTGCACCCCTATGATGATATAGAATATGTCCTCGGGATATTTATTGAACTGACCTTTCGTTTTCATCAACTCAAAGATGTGTCGATACACTTGTGTCGACTTTGCAGCAGACGCAAAAATCAAAAGATGGGGAACTTGTCGACGCTCCAGTTGCTCGTCAATCACTTCACTTATGACCATCTTTGCATATTCCTCGTGATTCGGCAGACTAAGGATTATCTTCCCCGCTTCAGTGGCACCGCTTGGATTCAATCGTATCTTACTTTCCGCTAATTTAATTTGCATCCTTACTTCCGACGGAATTATTTGTGCAGCAGAAGTTGTGCTGGCGACCTTTTCAGTAGTAATCTCTACTGTGGTCGTTGCCACAGTGGTTTTTTGTGTTACAATGGGAACGAGTCTATCTTGTGGAGGCTTTACTGGAGAATTGTAGCCCTCAGTTGTTGAAGATTGTCTGACAGTGTCCAAACCATCCTTGTAGGAGTTTGAATTTATATTTATAACGATGGTTCCACCACCACTTCCCCTGACATTATTAATTTTGGATTGCAATGCATCGTAGAGCCTTTTTAATTCCGTCTCTTCTTGATTAAGTTGGTTCACATTTGAACTTGTAGGTATGGAAATTTGTATTTCCCCTGTAAAATGCGGTGAAACTTTCAGAATTATCTCCTCTGAATCGGGAACATCTGCGATTAGCCGTCCACCTAATGGTCCGGTGCCCTGGCGCAATGGTTCAATAAGGCTGGCGTTGGCTAAGGTTAAGGCGGCCAGTAGAGTTGAAAAAGCCATATTATTTAACCTCTCGGAGAAGATTCCTTTAAAAATATTTAAATTCAGTTATAAATATTTGTTGATTGAAATAAAGGAAAGGTGCCCAAGTCCTCGCTATAAAGGGAGTACTGATTGATTTTTTTGGAAAATCAATTATGCGGGGAAATATTATATTATGGAAGTGCTGATGAAAGGTAAAAATATTGCCTCTAGCCGGCGTGAAAAATATTCGCTTCACCTTTACTTCACCTATATTTCTTGTTGACAGCCATGCCCTTCTATAATGACTTGTCGCCGCGCATACAAAATTCTCGCTCTGCGTTTCTCATGTTACCTACCAATTTCAGTGCTTTTCATGCTCTGGAAATTATACAGGTAGAAATTGAACCGCGCAGTTTGATTTGTATTTCCAAGACAAAGCAGTTTTGTTCAAAATGATTTAGTTTTTATTTGCATTTTTTTACTCATTCTGCTCATATTTTCTGAGCGAGTATGTGTATAAAATTTTAATCATCATATATTATGACGGTATAACTATTTAATTTTTAATTTATTATTTGATTGTCACGGTTTGTAAAAGGCATTTCTCATTTATCTAGCTACTCACAATCAGTCAAATTAACACGCACCGTTTTTGCAAGGATCCGCCGGCGCCTTGGGGTCTGCTCGTCTGCTATGTGATGCGAAATTTCAGTACTTGTGGTATTTTTATATAATATGAACATTGATAGATTAACTAATAGTAGTATTATTTCAATTTTATTTAAGTTAAAAAAACGGAGCAGCATTATGTAGCGATCGTTACATCGTTATCAATTTATTAAATTTATAATATTTAAACAGAGTTAAAAATTTGTAAATAAATAAAACCTTTTTTTAAATCTGTTGCCCATTAAATTTTTCTCGTGAAAGTTTTTGTTTGAAAAAAAAAATACAATTAATAAAACATTTTTTTCCAGAGGATGAAGACGTTTATGAACGCCTCCTTGAGTGCCAACTGCTTCACTCGAATAAATTCTCTCTCATTCCCTTCAAGTCGGATTGGTTATTTAGTTACAGAGACTCAAAAATTATACATTGAATTTTATCAGTTTTTTTTTATATAATTTTCTCAATATTTGCCAAACGACCGGGCAATTAATTTTGACTCTTCTATATGAAAATGTTATATAAAAAAATCATCCCTTTTCAAATTAAAAAAAAAAACTTATTTACAGCACTTTGCAAGTAGCAATTTTCACGCAAAAATTGAAAATGTCCACCATATATAAATGAAATTCAATAAAATAATAATTTTAATATATTATTAAGCATAAATAAAGGCAAATTTGATTATAAAAATTTAAATATATACATGATCAGAATACAGCAAATGAGTTAGAAACTTAAATAAGAGTGCCTGAGCAGCGAGACAGACTTCGACGCGCGCCCGAATCATCAAAGTTTGTAAGCTGCGAGGTGATGACAAATAGCACCCCCGCCTCCAGCAACCAATAAAACCAACAATAAATTCGGCCGCGGCGCATTTTCCTTCACAATCGTTGAAGCCCTGGAACGACCTTCAAGACTATTCCTCAAGCAATTTTCCCTCCCTCTGCATGGAGCATTTATTGTGGCATTAATTCAAGATTTAAGATTTTATAATGCTCTTATTTTACTAAAGGTTTACCGCGGCGCCCGAGTCTCTTTTGATATCGGGTGTTTTAGCAAACATCTGCTAGTTGTGAAGCCTTTCTTCTCTTTTTTCCAATTTAAATTTTTGTATTGACCGAGAAGAATATTAAATATAAAAATTATTTATAGCAAAAATATACTTAATTGACTTTCAATTTTCAAATAATATTTGTGAAAATATTTTAAAATTCCCAATGCATAATTTTTTGAAATTAGGGAAGCATGACTGTGTGAGGGCTGGCGACAAAATTCATAAGGAAATTAAATATACGAGAGAATATTGGAAGAGACGTATGCGTTGCATAGGTCAACAGGAAATATTGGTGAAGGTGAGAGGAAGAATATTTTTCTCGCCGGCTCAAATTTTGAAGTCACATCTGCACTTAAATTATATTTTTTTCCCAATTTATGCTCGCTTACAAAAGATTTTCCGATAAAATTAAGTAAAGGGTGTTTTAAGTGATTATATTTTCCGCCAAAAAACGTTATAACTACATTATTGGGCATCTTTCCTATAAATAAAGATTGAAATTATATTTTTTACCTGAAGCTTTTTAAGTCAAATTTGGATATTTGCACTTTCCGCCTGGCCGATGCCCACTTTGTTAAATTCAATTGTGGCAAGATATCTTCTCGACTCTATCGAAAGCACTGATCCCTCTCCACTCTTGTTTGATTGGCACGGGGAAAAATTTAACTAAAGCTCTGCAACGATATTTTTACCCTTGCGCGGCCTTGGCAAAAAAGAATTCAGGAAAAACCGGTGTGTGCTCCACGCTGAGATCGAGCTCAGGTTGTTTCTTTTGCTGTGGGCGAACGAGCTGGAAGATTTTCATCGTTTTCACAGAGTTCATCAGACTCTGCTCTTTCAACAGCTGCGCCCAAATCGTCGTTGTAAATAGGTGAGCTGCTCAAAAATCAAAGCGTTTGTTTTTAAAATATAAATTGCTGCTCAAAAATAAAAGCGTTAGTTTTTAAAATATAAATTTAATGCGGCCGATTTTAAAGCAAAATAACAATTACAAGTTTATATACTTTTAGCAAAAAAAATGCTTCGGCGGATTCTGCTCTCGGCAATAATAATAAGCGGCCTAGCGCTGGGGCAAAAGCAAATTGTAAATAAAACGCAGTGCAAAGTAAATGAGTTCCTGTACATCGCGCAGCCCGGTAGGTTTACTTTTATAAATCATTAATTTCTTTAATAATATTTGATTTAGCTCGTAAAAATTTACAACCAATTTTGAAGTTTTTGCAGATGGGGAGAATTTGAGCTACAAAGAGTGCGGTCTCTTGGCAAAAGACGTCGTTTCTCGTCCTGGTCGTCCTCCCTGGACAGTCAGCGTGAACTACGGTGACTGCGAGGCCATCCTCATTTCACGGCGCTGTGCTCTCGTTGTTAAAAGTATTGAAAAAAATTAATAAAATTACTAAATTTGAAAGCGCAACTTATTTTATTTATTTTTTCTTATGCTTGTTGCTGTATAGATGAGTATGACCTTTGTGACGATAAAACGCCACAAGATGAGCTTGACATGGTAGCACACCTGGGCTCGTGCATTTCAAAACCTGCGAGCTGCAGCCCAAACGACGGATTCAAAATAAAAGTATTTAAGCTTTTTTAATTTTATATATGAATACGATTTTTAAATTTTTTTAATCTTGTTAAAGGTGATTCAGGTGCACAGACTCTCAAATTACGCGGTAGATTCGATTTTGATGCTCGTCATGAATCCAGTGCCGCAATTCAGCGCTCTGGCTAGGCCAATTTGCCTGTTTAATAATGATAATTTGCGAGATTTTGCTGAGCCTTTTGCAACGTCAATAGTGAGTATTTTTAATCAGATTCCAACGTTTGCTGCACAAAATCTATGATAACTTCACTTGCAATGTGATGCTAGAACAAAAATTCGGGTACAAAAATGCTCCTGCTGACATCCTCTTTCCATCCATGTGTCACACACGTAAAAGAATTCAAAAAGGTCACAGGTCACCATGGGGTCAATGCCCTTTTGTGACCTGATCACCATGTGTGATACATGATCTTAAAGAAAAATTTTAGGCAATTATTTTTTGTCATTATACATTTAGTCCTAAATCTAACAGGAAAAAAGTTATGGAGGTTTAAAATAAATTTTGCACAAAAAACGCTCGGAAAACCACGTTTTTTGCCCTTTGATCCGGAAAATCTCAAAAGCGAAAAAAATAAGTCTCACCAAATTTTTATATTTTGTTTATTACTAACTGGAGCAACTTTTGGCTATTTTGGAATCAAAAAAATTTATTGCCTTGGTACTTTGGTAGAGACTGAAAAAAATGAGCTAAAAATAAATGACCTTCGGGTTTGACCTATGACCTTGGTCACTATGGCAAAGTTGTAGGGCGTCTAATTTCCTACAATTTTGCTTCGTAAACTTATGCGCTATCTGCAACAGGGGCTGAGATATTTTCGATTTTTGAAAACGCCATTTTTCAAAATTAGCAACTTTGAGCCCCTGTAAAATAGGCAATTTAGAGAATTTTCAAAAATCCTTCTAAACTATTTTTTCGCACCCTAAGAGCAACCGACCTGCCAAATTTCATTCAAATCGGTTGACCCTTGCCAAAAGTGTGGCCGTTTAAAAAAAAGTGCCATTTAGAATATAATATTTTAATTATTTTACAAATATTTTATCTATTTTTTTAACAATTACATTTTTTTAAGCGGCGCCAAGCGAACATGAAAATCGTTGAGCGCCAATTATGCCTGCCTGAAGAACTTCCCTTTGACAAATGTGCCCGCTACAGCTACTTGCTGTGCGGCTACACTGACCAGAGTATAATAATAATTTATTTTAAGTTAAATATTTAAAAAGTATCAATATCTGTTTGCTTTTTAAATTAAAGAAGTCCAAGAAGATGACCTCTTGCTAAAAGTTATCAATGAGCGATATTATCTGCGAGGAATTCGCGTGCCCAGTGTACAAAAAACTTTCTTGAAATACCAAACATATCACGACGTGATGATTTTCCTTGAGAAAATCGTAGAGCTCGCACCAGACATTCACATGCTGCCGAGATCTCCACCGACTCAACACGCAATAAGTAGAAATTTTATATAACTTTTTATTTTAATTTCAAATTTTTTTATCAGCATTTGATGGAATCGAAAAGCTGAGTTTTCCCAACTGCGGCCTCGAACAAGAAATGGAAAACTCTGATCGATCTCGTCGCAGCTCTTCTTTGTTTGAAGATGAAGAAGAAGAAATTGGGCAAGTGGCCGTGCCGCTTGTTTTCCACGGGGCTCCCCGCGGCAAAAGAAAACACCCGTGGCACGCTGCAATTTCGTTCGAAATGGGCAACGGAACGGTCAACAACTGCGGCGGCTCCCTCATTTCACACCGCGCGGTCGTCACAGGTATATAAATTTTGAACACTTTTTTCTATTTCTTTTATTCTTGATGAAGATTATTAAAAAAATTCAGCTGCGCACTGCGTGTTCCACGACGGGGAACTGATTTCTCCGCGATACATGCTGGTCACGATGGGAAAATTCAATTTAAAAAAGAGCTTTGAAGCTTCTCGGCAAACTCTGCAGGTGCGCGCGATTGATTTTTGTTTAAAATTGACGAAGACTTGATATTGATTTTTATTACAGCCCAATAAAATTCTGCTGAGTCCCATTTACAATAACACTGCTGGAGATTTTCGAGGAGACCTGGCCGTTCTCGTATTTGCCCAAGACTTCAATTTCACAAAAGACGTTCAGCCCGTTTGCCTGTGGAACGACGACGACGACATTAAAAAGATTGCAAACAAAACTGGAGAGGTTTGCAAATTAATCTTATTTTTATAATTTATTGCTGTAGGTAGGAAATTGTTTTTTTTTTTTACAAATTTTGAAAATTTAATTTTCTATTAATAGATAGTCATATAAAAAAGAATTTTTTGTTGATAGAAAATTTCGCTGTTTGACTAGATTATTTTATCATCAATGAAATTTTTTTCAAATAATTTAAAATTTCCACAATTAATACTGCTTGCAAATTAAGTTTTTTTTCTAAACAAATTGAAATTAATTAATCGTCCTTTTACTCCTGTTTTAAAAGTTTGTTGGCTGGGGTTTGACCGAGCACTTGACACAGCCCGACGAGTTGCAACAAGTCGTTTTGCCGATCAAATCGCACTTTCAGTGTTTCCTGCAAAACAGACCTTTTTTCTCAAAATATCTTAGGCCGGGACTCAGTTTCTGCGCTGGATATTCAAATGGTATTTTATTTTTTTTTCACCTTTTTTAATTTTTTTTTTTTTATTAAATCGATTTGTTTTCAAGGGACCGGATTGTGCAATGGAGACAGTGGAGGCGGTTTGATGATCAAACTGGGAGCAAGGTGGTTTCTGCGGGGAATCGCCAGCACTTCTAAGGGAAAAGTGCAGCTGCTGCCTGGAAAAGAAGTACCTCAATACATTTGCGACACAAATTATTACTCGATTTTCTCTGATGTGGCTTACTACGTAAATTGGATAGCGCAAAATCTACCCCATGAAATTTCTTTCAAATGAGATCATTAGTTTAATTGCATTTAAAATACTTAATTTTTAATTGCCAAACTTTGAAGTTGTTGAATGATAAACTTAATAAAGGTGATACATTAATATATTAACATTCAGCTTTTGTTATATAAAATTTTAATTAAAATTAGTTGAGGGCATTTCAACATTTAAAATAAAACGTCGACTGCATATTTATTATATATTAAAAAAGACAAGACATTTGTGCTGCCTTTGAGATGTGAACAAAAATAACAATTAGATTTTAGTAGGTAATTAATTTACGTCAATATTGATTTGCAGTTTTCTTTTCCATTTATTTTCTCACTTCTCAAGTAGAAACGGATGAATTTCCTTAAAATATTGACTGAATAATACAAGTAATTAATGGAAAACTTACTTAAATTTCAGCTTGGCACGTTTCAGTCTATCACAACTATAGTTGAAAATGCATAACTTTGAAAGATTGCCATCGATTGGTCATCTTTTGATCAAACAGTTGAAATTTATAATTTTTTTTCTGTATTTTTTGATCACAAATTTAATCATAAACTTTGTCCGGCAACCTTTGGAGGCTTCGGCGCATCACCTGCCGATGGCTCATGAGCCCTTTGGGAGAGGACCTGTCTGTGGAGATTCTCAGGTGTGCCAAGTCGCAACCTAGGCTGTACAAGGCGGTGCTCGCCAACCTGGAGGGTCCCGGCCTGAATTCAGGGTCAGGATGAGGCACCCTGGCGATATCACCTTCTTCCCAATGCGCCACTACGGGTGGTGCGGCGGCCTTGTCGACCGTGACGTCAGGTTCAAGGTGTGCACCGAACGCGACGAGTACCCAGACAAAAACCTCTTCTGCTCTGCCTGATGCAAGTGGTGCACCTGGAATAAGAACATATATGTCCACACCTTCTCGAGATGTGCGACTTGGACAGGGTGTGCAGACGCCATGAGAATTGTTGTCATTGATTTACTTCAGGGCATTTCAAGGCGGAGCGTCACTACTGTTCTATGAAACAAATTATTTTGCTTATAAAGCATTCTCTTTGTAAATTTACTTAAAATTAAACAAATTAAAAATACAAAATTCAAGCCACATTCAAGCTTGATTATTGTATTTTTTAATGTGCAAATTTAATATAACTGACTTTACTGGACTTCCTAGGTTTTTCTAATTTAAATATCAGAAATTCTTTGTAAATTAAAATTATAAAAGCAAGGGACTTTTTCCTTAAAAAGATTAGATTCTCATTTGCAATTTTTTCAAAAATTTACTAAACCTTAAGTTTTTACTTGTTGCAAATGCTGGTAAAAAGTTTCAATAAGAATAAAGAATGACAAAAAAAAAAGAAAACTAGAAACAATACCAAGAATTTAAACAAAATAATTTGTTTTATGGCCATTAAATTAAGCTACATGAGAATTATCTTTAAACATTGGGCACATCTTCCATTTGCTTTGGAATTCTGCGCCACTTGGGCAGCACATCGGCCAAGAGCAGCTGGTGATGCTCATTGTTTCTTGTGACATACGCTTCACAGCACACTGTTTCCAGCCGAGGGCAGTTTTTAATCAGAGTAGATAGAAGCTTGTTGTGCACGTCCAGGGTCTGACACCACACTTCGTTGTCCTCGGGTTGCGGCCATTTGAACTCAAACCTAGTCTTGAGGGAAGTCAAGTGAGGCAGCAGAGGTTCGGCGTGGTCGAGGAGGGCCCGTGGTTCAGAGAAAAGAAAGTGAAAGAGGCCGACAGTGTGGAGATTGGGCGCCAGGAGAAGATACCAGAATGGCAAAAATTGGTTTTCACCGCTGACATCGGAGATTTCTGTCAATTTCAGGTCCTTCAACTTCAATCTGGACGGGTCAACAGGGTGAATCTGGTTCTCTTGACGAAAGTAGCCGTTCAGGTGAAGCTTCTCCAAGTTGGGACACAAGACCAGAATTCGATGCAAGTCGGTGTCGCCCCCTAATAGGTCTTCAACAACAATATCCACCAGTCTGGCGCCCACCAATGCCAGGATCGGGTAGTCCTCAGGTAAGGAAGGCTCGTGCAATGATCTCAAATGGGGAAGTCCAGAGTACACCAACAAGGGTTGGTCAGAACTTCCCACCTTTTTTAGTCCACTAAGGTGGGTGTGGATTCTGCCGAGAAAGAAAAAAATTAACTTTTTAATTAAAAAAAACTAAAAGCTACTTGCCTTTGGATATTGCCACTGATGTCCCTGACCTCTTCCAACATGAAAGGCTGTGGTGGATTCTTCCGGATCAACAAGTCTGGCGGTTCAAAGATTTCACCTGCAAAAATGTGTGGATTATTTTATATCTTTCTTTTTGTCAATCAAAATAAAAATGAATATCAACTGTATACACCTCAGGGGGGTTTTTTTTAATTGAGATAAAAATAGCTAGTTGCACTTGTTGATATCAACACAATCTTTGGATAGCAAAAGAAAGAGGCCAAGAATTATTTTTAAACTTTTGCAACTGAGGGATGTGAATTATTTAATCCCATTTAATTATATTAACAAAAGCAAAGTTCATTACTTACTGCCAATATCAATGTTCCAAAGGTGGATGAATCTGAGTTTGGGCAGCAATTCAAATATTTGTTGATGGTCCGCAGCTTTTCGATGGTTCACTGTAGGTCCACTGAGATCATGATGATAAGCAGAGAAGCAAACTCTGTCCAGCAGATGCAACTTTCTGAGCGAGAGTATTCCTAACGTAGTCAGATCCGGACTTCTAATCAAACTAATACTTGCGAGCTTGGTGCAACTCCTCCTCAACACTCCCAGATCCTCTACATCAAAATTTTAAATTTAAAAATAAAGAATTTTCAAAATCATTATATATACTGTCGGTGAATTTGAATGTCGTAAGCTGCAGTTCACTAAGGTTAGGGAACTCGGCAAGGTGTTTGACAATCAGGTGTCCAGGTCTCGGCACCTGACGAGCTCTCCACCTGTCGCGAATGCTCCTCAAGTTGGGAGCTTTGGAGGCCAAACACTTCCATGTTTCTTCAGAGTCCTTGCTGAGGACAGAGGGATCTTTCTCGATGATGTTAAAGTCGAAGTTCACCAGGTCGGAAGTGATTAGGAGCTTCAAAGTGGACAAGTCAGGCTGAAGCGAGTCTCTCTCCTCAAACGTACAACCATCGTAAAATTTCTACAAAAAAATATTGTTTATTGAAATATAACATAATTGAGAGGAAAGGGTTTCAATTTTCTTTTCAATGGGCCAAATACTTTAAAAAGAGTTTGTTAAAATTTTTCGCCAAAAATGAGTTGAATATGCTTTTTAAAAAAAAAAAAAATAATAATAATTTTTAATTCCACACTGCATGCGTGGATAAAAAGCGAAATTGAACAATCGAACCTTAAGCTTGCAGATGCCATCTGGGTCAAGGTGCAGGCCAAGTTTGGGTTGTTTGTGACTATCAGCATCCCTGGGAATCGATTTTGTTATGGCCTCCAGGATTGCACACTTCGTTCTAGAGGCTGCAAAAATTGAATTGTGGTTTTAACTTGGCAGATATAAGTAGTGTTAACTTACGAAGGCAGTCGATCAGGTTTGGGTCTAGTATGGACAGGTTGGAGACGACGGTGCGCATGGATGACTCCTCTAAAGTCACCAGGTTCAGTCTCTGGGTTTGCAGCACCGTTGCCGCCCTGACCAGCTCGTGAGTGCTCGCCCGTCTTTTCACCAAGTCTGAAATTCCAAAATAAACGCTGTTATTGCGGATTTTAAATCCTTTTTTATGCACCATAAAACTCTATTTTTCCATCTAGCGAAACAGGAACATCCATTTTCAAAGCACTTTCTCACGTTATATGCATAAGAAGAATTTTCGAACCAGCGATAGAAAGAGAAATTCCTCTTTATCGAAAAAAAATCTTTTTATGAAAAGTTTTTGTTGTTGTGCAAAAAGTAAAAACAGAGATTTTGCAGAAATCCCAGAAATCTGACAGGCGTGTGTATAGAGACGATTACAATTCATGTTTTGTGACAACTTATTCCTTAAGCCGAATCAGACATTTTAATGAAAATAAGTGAGAAAATATAAATAATTTAATTTCCTCAAATAGTTTTTGTGCTTTTTATGAATCTTTTAGTCCGCTTAGATGCGTTTTGATGACGGCCAATCCTTAACTCCGCTCTGCACACCCTCCAACTCACAGGCCTCTCACCAGAGGGCCAACCCGCAAGAATAAAATCAAAATAAAATTCTTTAACTGTAATTACAAATTATTTAATTCCAGAAGTGTTAATTAGTGGTTAACAATTTTGTTTGGAAAAACTGAAGTTACGTATTGTAGCAAAAGTTATTTACAACTTCTGAATTCGTTTTAAGCCAAATTCAAATTCATAAATTTTTGCTATTGATAAACTTTTAATTTTTTTAATTCAAATTTTTGAAATAATTATTAATTTTAGTTGTAAACGAGAGCAATTATTAAGTCTGTGGCGATCTGACTCTGTGGTTTTGTTGACAGACCAACGCAGAGATGTGGGCACTGTGGGCAGAGATAAGCTGTCACCAGGACCAGATTTGGGGGCGGGGCCGATCACAGGCGAACCCCTAACAACAACATTGCAGAAAAAAGTCCATTAGTTGGTTCTCACGTGCGGGATCCGGGTTTTCAGTCAAATTTAAAACTAGGAAAATTTTCTAAAAGATCCGTTGCATATAAATTATCATAAAAAATGGCATCATATGGACTGCACAATCCGACCACGTGTATAGTGTGTATAGCAGAAGCAGAGGTACATAAATTTTGTAGAAAAGTCCAGGTTTTTGAAATATGTATGTATCATTTCGTTCTAGTTACAAATGATTATTATATTCCATTATTCACCATTTTGCTAATTCATTGGAATTTTGTTTTTTTTTCACATAGAGGCTAGTTCCCATTTGGATACAGAAAAATGGTTGCCCGGTTGCAAAGAAGCCAAAAAACTGCTCCAGGCAGCCCAAAAGGCTGCGCTCGAAGGTCTGCAACATGGTGTCTCTGCAGAAACTGGCCACGAGGAGCCTCATTCTAAACCTGGACAAGATTGGAAAAAGCCCACGGTGCTTTGAAAGCCTATGTAAAATCAATGAATTATATTTTCTTTTATTTATCAAATTTTTAAATTTAGGTCAAGACGTGCGACATCACAGTTGCTCTTTAAAAAATAATACATAATTATTTCTTTATTTTTCAGCAAACGGAGTTAAGTCTGATGTGGTCTTGAGGATTCTGGAAATATTCAAATTATCAAGAAATAATCCATTTTTCGAAAATTATCAAATTCCATACGACGAGAAAATATCTCATGCTATGAAGGTAACACCTATTTGGCAGTTTAATTTTGCCAGTAAAAATTCAATTTTTGTGGCACACATTATCTCAATCTAGTCTAGATAAAAAGCATTTAAATGTGGATAGTGGCAACTGGGGTAGACACTTAATTTTTGATGATAATTTCACTAAATTATTACTACATAAAAATATTTTGGAATGTTTGCGTCCTTGTTGATTATATGGTGTGCCAATTAGAGCAAAACATTTAAAAATTATTTGTTCAGCCAAATAAATGTAGTAATTTGGTTAAAATTTAGTGATTTAAAGTTTCATTATTAATGTGTTTCCTTTCCTATGAGGGGAATTAAAAATTACATCAAGAATATTTTAAATGTTGCAGCTGTCAACGTATGGCCCTCGGTGGCCGAAATTTGAGATTCCTCTACATTTCAGCGTCCTCAAGCGCCTCATCAACCCCTCTCTGTCAGCGTTTGAATTTGAAATCTGCGGCGGTGAAAGGTTTTTCTAGGCCCAGGGATTGGATTTACAAGTTTTGCAGTTGCTAATTGCCAGAACGCCTGACGGCATGATGAGCATTGTCGACCGGCGGCGCGATTCACCACATGACCACCCACCTCCATGTTCAGGCAGCAGTGTCATTAATTGTGTCATTAAATTAACAGTGTCATTAAATTGGTGAAATTCACTAACTTGAAGCACCTTGACATGAGCACCGTCCACTTCAGTGATGGTAAAATTCAGATAGTTTTATTAATTTATTCATTAAAAAATACAAAAATGCAAACTTATGCTGGAATGCTCAAAATCTCACGATTATTTTAAATTAATTTGGAATTTTTAAAAATTGGAATCCATAATTCTTTGGTTGCATCGCTTTTAGGGAAATGGAAACTACAAAATGAGCTTTTTCTTTGGCGCTGAGAGAAATAGTACGCCGCATCCCTTGGAGTCTCATCATGGTTGTGGGCTTCAGATTGTCAAATAAATAAAACAAAACAATTGCTTCCAAACCTCTCCAGGGCGCCGAAGAAGAAGAAGACTCGTACTGAAGGTTCTATTTCCCTGAAACACTCCAAAAATGTATCTTTTGTTTCTTTTATTTGAAATCACGTATCCTTCAAACTCATTGCTTCAATTCAAGATCGATCTATTTTAAAGCTCAAATTATTCAAATTTTGCAGATGACCTGGAGAGGCTGAGCAAAAGTTGTCCCAATTTGAAAAGTGTAAACCTGTTTAATTTAAAGTCTCTGAGCATCGACGGACTTGGATTTTTAAGCACCCTCCCTCACCTGGAGACAATTCACCTTGGCTGGCAATACTGCTCAAAATCTAGGGAGACGCGAGCTAGTGCTAAGAATGCACTGAAAATCATTCCTCACTTAAAGGAAATCTCTCGTAAGTTCACTATTTTTGTTATTATTAACCTGGCCTTGCTTTACTAGAGTGGATTTTTCATACATTTATTCCATATAATATATGTTATAACGTTTTATAAATATTAAAACTACATGAAATATAAAATGCTGCATATTATACCTATGCAAATTAAGCATGAAAGCTTAATTTCTTCTTTTCATTTTTCATGGACAATATTTAAGTTTCTTATGAAACTAAATCTAATAAAAATTAGTTCAGCGTCCACCTCATTTCAACGAAAGCAAAACGTTATTATTAAAATCTGGGGATTGAATCAGTAGTTTAAATCAATACATTGGTTCTAATGGCAGCCCTATCTTGGAATGATTGATCTTTTCACTCCAATAAGATGCAAAATAAAAATTGCTTTCGGTGGAAAAATTAAAATTGGTTCAATCAGTCAATCAAATATTTGTAAAGTAGGCAACCAAAGCCAATTCTTGGAGTATCTGCAATTCTTTGGTCGCCCGACTACAGCCCCACTCTGGACCAAATTTCAATTTTCCCAGTATTTTTTTTATTATTTTGCATCTAGTGTCACATATCTTAGGATTGAAAAGATAAATCATTCTAAGGTAGGGCTGCCAAAAGATCCAATTTTATTTAACTGCCGAATTATTGGCAGAAAAAGTAAAAATTTAGAAAAAAAAAAATTTCACGCATTTTTTATTTTAAAATTTTTGACAGAAGAAGAATTCAATGAGGAGGACTTTCTGACCATTCCCAGTACACCTCAACCAACCTTTAGCCTGGAGGTACTCAAAATGAATGCAACTGGCTCTGTTGAAAAGTAACAAAAAAATTAATTTTTGCGCATGAATATTAATGTAAATATTAAATTTCCCTAGCCTTGCTGCTTGCGTGCCAAATTTGAAATGGGTGCAACTTTTGCTCAAGTATCTTATTCCTCCGGAAGTGCTCAGCCAGCTGCCCTACCTTTCTTCTTTTGCAATGAACTGCAGCGATGAACGAGAATGGCCTCTTGTCTTCAACTACCTGACGGTCCTCGGCCCAAGACTAACTCGGCTTGAAGTGGTGGATTGTATGTATGCAGGTGAAAACCTGTACACGATCCTGTTGCTCTGCCCCAACCTTGAGTACTTGAATGTGGAAGACCCACTTGGAAGTACAGTCCAGTGTGCTGCAAAATCCATCGACTTCAAAAAGCTCAAGCTCAGGGAGCTCCACCTTGTAAGCCTTGAAGTTCCACTCTCACGGCACCAAGCCTATTGGCCCCTTCTGCAAGCCCCCGAGCTTCACACTGTCACGCTACATAGATTCTGTTTCACCTACCCTAAGAAAGTTGCAAATATTAAGGGGCCACTTTTGCAGAATCTCGTTAACTTTGAGTGCAGCTTTTCAAAATTTGCTTCACCTGCAGCCTTTGACCATTACATCCAGTTCTGTATTTGCATTTCGCATCTTGCAGAATTGCCCCAAGTTGGAAAGGTTCTTGTTCATTTCTGACAAAAAGGAAGTCTTGAACATTTGGCCTGATGCCCCCTGTCACATTACCATCAAGAATTTGTAAACTCTGTGTTGGTTGTGATTCTGCCTCTCAAATTCCTATGGCTGCTCTCTGATTTCACTTTCTTTGAAGTTTAAAAAAATGTCAGGTGTAAAGCATTTCATTACAAACATTTAAAATTATTAAAATACTTTCATCCAGTTTGCTGCATTCTTGTTTTGTTTAGCCTTCTGATGAAATTATAACTTTTTGCGTCAAAAAAAATATGTATTATAATCCAGTTTTCTTCGTTTCCCTCGCTAATGGCTTTTCCTGTAATTATGATTTATTCATAATATTTCTTTGCTTCTAATTTAATGATTTTGTTCTTGGGCTGAATTTTATTCATGAATTCACTGTTAAAAGCTCTTTGAAGTTATACTGATCACTTCCGAAATGGTCAACTCTTCAGCAAAGACTCAGAAGAAACATTGAAGTGATATTTGTATTAAATAAAAATTCGCTGTTATGTAGCGCTCCCTTCAGGTGGCGTTTGCAACACAAAATCATATATGTTTCATGAAAAATAATTGAAATTAATGAAAAAAAAAATAAATGATCTAATTAATAAAATGTTAAATTACGTTTTTTTACTGTACAGAAAACGCAGCCGAAAGTATAAAGTTGATTCTATTCGAAACGACAAACTTTTTGCGTACGAAATAATTATCATAAAAGGAGCAGAGCGAAAGAGCGCCGGAGTGAGAGATCAATGAGATCATGACTGTGATATTTTAATATCAACATTTGTAAATTCGGTAAATTCAATAAATTGTGACTTTTGCACATTGTTCGTAGATAATTGCAATGGACTAACGAAAGAAAATTTAATAACCTCTACATCAAAAGAGCAAATTATTAACCATTAATTTATATTTCGTAGGAAATAAAAAATATATAAATTGACCAGTTTTATTATTTTAATTGATCATGAACTTGAACATAAATCTGCGTGGATGCCAAGAATCATGAAGTGGAGTAACTGCTTCTTCGAGGTGGTGCTGCAGCTCACACTCGGGGCAGGCTACGGAGTTGTTACCATAGGAGGTCTGGTCAGCATCAGACCGCGGCAAGTGCCGCACACTTTTCTGCGTGGCCGCAGAGGCTGAAGACAAATGTGGATTGGGCAGCGCATGCAATTTGCAGCCTCGGGAGGAGCAACTTCAGAGGATGCACTTGCACTTCAGCCAGCTGCGCCTTGTCTGAGTAAAAAATTTTTAAATAAAAATGGGCTCAATATTGCCCAGATTTCCGAAAACTTACTCCAAACCGCGATCCGAGATGTCACTTGTTCGTGCGTGCAAATTTTAATCCCTAGTGCAAATTACTGCAAACAAGAAATTTGCACACGTTTGATTCAAGGGTTGCGAAAGTGACCGCCACGTCTTGGGGCAGCACCGGTCGGTGTCAAGAATTTGCCGAAGTTGTAAAGAAAGATGGCGAGAAGCGCAGTCGAGTGCTGCTGGATTGGATTTGTTGTGGAAATTTTATTATTGACGAGCAGAGCACCGAGAAAAATCATCGAGCAGCTTTTCCTTGGTAAGTCTATCATCCGGAAAGACGTCTCGATGCGGCCGATTTTCCGCCACTAATCTCAGTTTTGGGCTTGGGCGGTCGGCGACAAGCGAAACAACCCGCTCGGGTCGCAGGCGCGGATTCGGAGGAAAAAATTCATGAAATTCATTCTTTTTGAGCCGGCATTATTTTCATTAATTTTTAATTGGAGGCCTGCGACGACTCTCGGTTTATATTCGTAGGCAAGGTGAACTTGTGAGGTTATGTTTAACGACCTGAAAAAAACAATACATTTATGTACAATTATCGCCCCCATGAAAAAGTTCTCGTCCGATCGTACGGTACATATTATGTAATTCGCATTTCGCAGCCCCCTTTGGACACCACTGGACTGGCGCGAAAGTAGAGAGAGTAAAAATGGGAGACGCGAACGACCAACGCCCCCTTTTTCGGCACAACACTTACACCAATCAGCGATGGCGTTAGTCATTTGTCTTGTCGTCGCTGATTGGTGTAAGTATTGTGCCGAAAAAGGGGGCGTTGGTCGTTCGCGTCTCCCATTTTTACTCTCTCTACGCGAAAGTGACCGCCACGTGTTGGTGGCAGCACCAGCCGGTCGACATTCGACAATCAAGACGCGAAACGCGAATTTGCCAAATATCGGAAGATGGCGACGAAGCAGACGAGTTGTCGCGCTGCTTGATTTTTTTTAATTGTCGTGGAGTTATCGGCACTGACACGAAGAGAACCGAGAAGAATCGGCGAGCAGCTTTTCTATCGTAAGTCCAAATTCGAGTGCGACTGATTTTCCTCCATTATAAACTGCAGTTTCGGGCCGGTCGGCGGCAAAAAGCAAAACAACCCGCGTTGGTCGCCTCTGCGGTTCGGAGGATAAATTTCATTCTCGAGCCGATCTCAATCCGAAATTGATTGTCCTTGTCCTGGAAAGATTTAACGTAACTGAGATTTTACACCCATCAGAATTTTTATTGGCGGAGGTGGGCCGCGATCGCCCGACTCTTGGTCTCGTTTTATTTTCGTAGGCAAGATGAACTTTTAAGGTTGATTAATACGCCGCGCGCTGAACGACTAGTAAAAGAAAATCAGTGCCTATAGAGATTGGTATTATCTATTATTTTAATATTTTCCAGGAATTCTTGTATGTGTAATTCTTTCAAAGCGCGATTGTTGCCACATTTTATTAAAATCTTATAAAAGTTGGATTGTTAATTGGAACCGCTTATTCAACTTTCAGACCAACTGTTGCTGCACATCCGTCGCGTCGTTTGTCGTTTGGCCGTCGTTGTCCTTTTCTGCTGCACCTCCATGAACCCCGCCGACAACCCTGCTGACGCCGGCCCGGCAGGCCCCGCACTGGCGGCCGTTCCGAACAGGGTAAGTCTCTCATCAAAAATTTTACTATTTTCGTTTTGCGAAATTCTGAAATTCAAAAAAAATTCTCGTCCAATCGTAATTCGCAGCCCCCTCTCTACACCACTGGACTGGCGCCTAAGAAGATCAAACTTCTGAGGCGTAAATGCCGTGCCCCGTCCAACCTAGAGCTACGCAACAAAATGAGGAAATTAGACCTGAAGCAAGTGCTTCAGCTGAATGGCCAAAAGTTCTTGTCAAGCCAGAGTAAATTCTAAATTTTTTCGCCCGTTCTTTTAATTATTTGTAACTACGCGCAGACAAAGCCAGTTTGGTCCAGCAGGTCTTCAACCTGTTGCAGGAGGTCGACCGGTTCACTGAGCCGCCCCTTCACGTGTCTCTCACAATGCCAAAGGTGAGTCTTCAGAATTTTCCGTTTTTTCACTTCGCAAGTCCCAAAATCTGTTCGCGCAGAGATTGTAAAGCGAATTTTTAAATTATATTCTTATTCTCAATATTTCTCATCGCGGTTTAAAAAATTCTCAGCCGCCCCTGTGAACCACCGCGGCCTGAGTGCCAGGGCCACTCGACTTCTCCGTAGCAAGACGCGGGGAATGCCGCCTCTGAGTTGGAGTCCACTCTGAAAAAGATGGAGCTACAGATGGCCATTAAAATGAATGGGCGTCGCATCAAGACCACTTGGAGTAAGTTGTTGGAAATCTGAGGTATAGTCGGGCTCATTTATATTTACAATATCTTGACTCAGACAAAAAGGAGCTGGCCCAAGTCCTGCTGAATTTGCTGGGCACCCTGGACAGGCATGCCGTGCCTCCTGAAGGGCCACCTGCTGACCCTCCCGTCTCTTGCATGCAGTGCCGAGACGCTCTGCCAACTTTCCTCTTTGGCAATTGCAGGCACGCGGGAGTGTGTGGACCCTGCCGTGATCTCCTGATGACCGGCGCGCCTGGAAACATCACAGCCACTTACCCACAGTGTGGACTCCTTCATACTGAGCTAGAGGTCACCCCGCTTTGAAGAAACTGAGGAAGTTGGATTTGCAGCAGGTGCTCAAGTTGAACAGACAGTTGGTGAAAACTGCCTGGAGTAAGTCGAGCAATTTTGAGATTTTTGAGCCCTTTTTTACACAAACCTTTTGAAACAGACAAGACCAAACTGGCTGAAGAGGTGTCTTCTTTCCTAGGGACCGTTGTCAATTGGGCTAAGGGTCCACTCCCCGAGGCTGCAGCGCCTGCCCCTGCACCGAACTGCATGCAGTGTCGCCAGTCACCCATCCAATTCTTCTTCAGCATGTGCGGACACGCAGGACTTTGCGGTCCTTGCCGCGCTGCCCTTCTGACTGGGCCAGCTGAAAATAAAACAGCAATTTGCCCTCAGTGCGATCTGGAACACCCAGAGGCTGCTGTCTCTATAATTCATATTCTGTAGCTTAAGTCAATTAAAGGTCCTTGTGACCATGACCAAATAAAACAACTTATCGTTAATTTTTTTAATATTTTGTACATATATTATAAATTATGAGTTGGGTATAAATTTGCATGTATAATACTGTATACCTATTTATTGATTTGAAAGAGATTTAGTGAAGTTTATTGTCAAGTATTGAAATATTAGATAATTTTTTTTTTCTTGAAAATTTAATATCTATCTTTCCTTGAGTTTTTCGTGCATCTAAAAAATTTCAAGTTTGAATAAAGGTGAAATTTCAAGTAAATTATAATTTTTCCTTGTAATTTAAAAGACCAATTTTTATGCAATAACTTTTTTAGAGCATTACACATTTTTTTCTTCTTTAGTTTTCGTTATTCTAAATTAATGATTAAATGATCAATTGCGCTCAATTAATGATTTTAATCGCAACAACTTGCACCCCAGCAAAAAGACAATTTAAATTCATTAATTGAGCGCAATTGATCATTTAATAATTATAATTGCGCGTAATCTCCGTAATCTCATTATTTCTTTGAGTGAAATTCAGCCTTTCAGCTTTAACAGAATATAATACCCCTGTCTCACGCTGAATATAATGGCAAAAAGTAAAACAGAATCCGTATGTTATACAATAATTGTACATATTTAATAGAATAGAAATGTACGCGCCGGCGTTTGGAGCAAACATTTGGCGCGCTTTTTCTCGACCTGACCCCAGCAGCTGGACTCTGGACGGTGCCGCGCATTTCTCTAACAAAAACAACACGCTCTTCGTCGGCTCCGCTTTTATCGAAACCTTTTTGTCTTCGGTCGGCAGGAGCGCAGAATTCATCTCTTAAAATTCATTTATCTTTGCTCGTGAGCCGGATCCACATTCGAGTCTTTCGTCCGATCCAAAAACACCTCAGAACTATGGGAATTTTGGGCCTGTCCAAGTTGATTTCGGACGTCGCGCCGGGCTCGGTCAAAGAGAGCGAAATCAAGCACTATTTCGGTTTGTCCTTTTATTCTCAAAACTCGATTCTTAATTCAAACGTGGCAGGTCGGAAAGTGGCCATCGACGCGTCCATGAGTCTGTACCAGTTCCTGATCGCCGTCCGCTCGGAAGGCGCCCAACTCACTTCGGCTGACGGAGAGACGACCAGGTCTGAATTTTGGGACTAAAATATTTATAAAATTCTGAAATAAACGGTCTGTAATTGCAGCCACTTGATGGGCACCTTTTACCGAACCATCCGTCTGGTCGAGAACGGAATCAAGCCGGTCTACGTTTTCGACGGCAAACCTCCGGAGATGAAATCTGGGGAGCTGGAGAAGAGACAGGAGCGACGTCAGGAGGCGCAGAAGGCTCTGGAGAAAGCCACAGAAGCTGGTATATTTATTGCAGACAATTTTGAATTTCTTTTTACACCATAATATGCCCAGGTGATGCCGAGCAGGTGGACAAATTCAACCGCAGACTGGTCAAAGTGACCAAAACACATGCCGAAGAGTGCAAGAAGTTGCTGACCCTCATGGGTATTCCTTATGTTGATGTAATTTTATATATTTTATAATTAAAGTTTATTACATAAAATTTTATTTGAACAGGCTCCGTGTGAAGCTGAGGCTCAGTGTGCAGCTTTGGTCAAGTCGGGAAAAGTTTTCGCCACGGCCACCGAGGACATGGACGCCCTGACCTTTGGCTCCAACATTTTGCTCAGACACATGACCTTCAGCGAGGCGCGCAAAATGCCCATCCAGGAGTTTCACTTGGACAAAGTTCTCGGCGGACTCGAACTCAGCAAGGAGCAGGTTAATGCAATAATTGTATCCTGAATTTGAATGTATAATTTTGTCAAATTTAGTTTGTGGACTTGTGCATCTTGCTGGGTTGCGATTACTGCGACTCGATCAAAGGCGTCGGACCCAAGAGGGCCATTGAATTAATCCGCAGCCACGGCAGCATCGAGAAAATCATCAACAATCTCGACAAGAAGTTCACAGTTCCGGAAAACTGGCCCTACGAGTACGCCCGCCGACTTTTCGTCGAGCCAGAAATAACAAATCCAGATGATCTCGAGGTATTTATTTAATTTTATTAAAAAGTTCAACTGCACTTGAAATTTTATTATAGTTGAAGTGGGGTGCGCCTGATGAGGATGGACTTGTCCAATACTTGTGCGTCGAGAAAGGTTTCAAGGAAGACCGAGTGCGCAGTGGAGCGGCCAAACTGGCCAAGAGCAAGAGCAGCGCAACCCAAGGCCGCCTCGAAGACTTTTTCAAAGTGATTCCCAACAGCAACCCCTCGGTGAAGAGGAAGGCTGACGAGAAAACTAACAAGAATGCCAAAAAGACCAAGGGCAAGGGTAGCTTCAGAAAGCCCAAATAAATTTAATCAATAACACTTTTTATGTTTTTACCTCAATCTCATTATACGTATTTTTAGGAGTTAATATTATCATGCAAGCAGTGCGTTTTGGTAAATAAATAAATTCCTCATTTTTAATGAAGTAAAAGTAATATATTTTTGACTTTACTTACTTTGCTTTCACTTCCCAAACAGCTTCATTGAAAAAAATTAAGCTTGTATACATAATATTATGTTCTCACATAGAATAATTATTTTAAAACAATTGGAATGCAAAGCACATAATTTTGAGTAATACTAGAGAACAATTCATTATTGACTACAAAACATTTAACAAATTACTATGTGACATTTTTTTCACTTACTATCTTCGAAAAATGCCGTTTCTCTTTCCTCTCGGAGTAATCGACGAATTCTGCAAATTTACAAATGATATACAAATTACATTAGCAAACATAATAAGATACATGCAACTAGAGTACATTATTTACAAAAGTTTAACAAAAAAACATCATTACAAAATGTCAGGTACATACAAAGTTCGAATATAAATACAGAATTTTATCAAAAATAAGCGAGGGAAATTAGTGAAAGGAAGGTTTGAGCTTGTTTCAAATTTAAACAGGAAATTTTGCAACATAAGTGGTTTTGCTAAAATACCAAGACATCAAGTGATTAAAAGTTACAAAGATAATAAAGAAAATAAGCACGCTAATTAGGATTAGAACTGGTCGACGGATTGCAGGTGAAATCTGGGTGGACGTCTTGAGTGGGTTCCTGCATGCATCATTCTTAGATTAGGTGCAAAAGAAGAGCAATAAAATAAAAACCGCAACCAAACACAAGATATTAAAACATACTTCGTCTGAGTAACTTTTGTCTTGGCCAACACGCTTTGAACTGCCCATGAAGAGCAGCCTCAAACGACTGGGGGTCGAGCTCTTGCGCTTGCCGGCACTGTCGAGCAGGGCAGTGTTCTGGTTACACTCTCGCAGAACGCTCCTAGGGGTGGTTTCCTAAAAAGGCCTCAATCAATTAAAATAATGCCAGGGGCTGTGCAAATATCAAGTTGCAAAAAAATTGCAGAATTTATTTGGATATGAATCAAATTTGAAGATAATTATCAACTTACGCCTGGGGCTTTGTTATTCTTGCCAGGAGTCGGAGGTCCTGGTTTCTTGTAACGGGTCTAAATTTTTAAATTATTTTCAGTTACAAAACATTGGATAAGTGAGTAGCAGATTTACCTGAACTCCTTGCGGACGTTCTTTTTGCTTTCGGTTGTCATGACTGGCATTGCCCAAAAGCCATTCGTTCTCATCAGGTGCTGGAGGAGCCTGCAATAGAAATGAAAACAAGTTTTTTAAATTGGTATAAAAGAATGGTAAATTATTATTGTACCTTGAGCTCTTCCTCCTTTACATCAGGAAGGAACTGAGTCTCGACAGGGTAAGAAGACTTCAAGTGACTTGGGTAGAGGGAGTTGCGCCTCTGCAGCTCGCTCAACCTTCCCGTTTCCCAATCACTGCCAACACCAGTTCCTGTTCTCAGGTCATCCAAAAACTTGGGATTGAACTGCTCGCCTTCTTCGTCTTCCATGCGGAGCAAGTTGCCTGCGAGATAAGGAAAAGGGTTGTTTCATTCATCACCTTATTTGATATTATGTTCACCTATGCCACACACAAAAGTACCTATCACACAACTGAAAATAAAAAATGGTTCAACTCTAAAATCAAAATCTATTAATCATAATTAGAACCCCTAAATTTTAAATCCAAAACCATACAAACAAAATAAGCTATTATCTTCTACAAATTTAATGCACCTTCAAAACAACTTCTGTGAAACTAAATTAACTAATAAATACTACCCAAAATCAAATCACTCAGAAATTTTGTAATACTTGTGTGAAGCAGCATTTTGGTGCTCTGTTATTTAACAGGGTGACGGCTTGATTAGAAGAGACGAGAAAAACCTACGCCCGCAACTGCAACTTACCGATACCTGAGAGAAGAGGTCGAGTGCTACCTGAGCTGGTGTTTGACGAAGCATTACTACTTCCCAACAATGTGTTCTGACTGCGAGCTCTGGGTTGAGCTACGACAGGCTTTGGGGCGGCCCAGCTGCCTAGACTGGAATTCAAAAATCGGATTTAAATTAATTCTTCTCAATAGTGGTTTAAAAAAAACCAGATTTCTTTTTTTAAAAAAAAGTAAACAATTACCTTGAAGAGCTTTGAACTTGTCGAGTGGGAGGAACTGCGCTCCTTGGCGGAGGCATGTTCTGGCGCTCGATGATCTGCTTGCGCTCCAAGTCGGCCAGACGGGCCTCCAGGTGACGACGCAGACCAGTTTCCTCGGCCAACGAAGCTGCTTGTCTGTTCTGCTTCTCCCTGTTTTCAGCCGCCTCCTGTTTCAACTTGGCAACCTAAACAATAAAAGGTGAAGTTCGGAACAAAATTTAAGATTGAAATTTACCAAAACTCTCAACTGGTCCCTTTCTTTGCGCTTATTGCTGATCTCGATCTGCAGTTCAGCCGCTTGATTGTTGACGTACTCGCCCAACTTGACTTTCATCTCCTCCAGTTTCTTGTCGTACTTGGCCCTTATTGCCTTCTCCGTGTCACTTGCCTTCATCTGCAACTCGTTCTTGAGGGCGTCATTGGCCCTGGACAGCTGAGAGTACTGGTTGCGGACTTCAGCCAGTGAAGATCGCATCAAACTCATCTGTAAATATTCAGAAAACTTGTTATTTCAAATAAATCAGAGCATAATATTTACCTCATGCTTGTACTTTTCTTGCGTCTGCTGCAATGATTTAATTTCCTCCTTGCACCTGTTGAAGTTTTCGTCCGCGTAACTTTTCAGAGTCTTCTCATGAATCAAATCCGCTCTCAGTTTTTCCAGCTCCTCGGTGAGAGCTCTCACTTCTGTATTTGCATCTCCAGCCATTTCCATCTGAATGTTTAGCTCATTCAAATTCCTAAAAATATTTTATAACATATTTTTAATTTGAAATGAAATCTTAAATAATTTTTTTACCTCTTTGTCTGATTGTGTTGGTTTATCTGGTCATCAAGCTCTGCAGTCTTTTCACCCAAAGCAGCTATCACCTCTTGGACCTTATCAAGTAGCTGAGAAATGGAGCTCTCCTTGGCCTGGATTTCATTTTTTAAGCTCTCTGCTTCTCCAGTCTTGCTTTCCAACTCTTCCGTCAGCTTCTCAACCTTGGTCCTGGATTTCTTCAGTTCCAAATTGCTGAAGGCCAGGTCTGCATCCAAGTGGTCCACCTTGGCCTTCTCATCACTCAACTTTTTCTCCAACTTGGCCAACTGCAAACATTTAAATGAAACAATTGGTTAAAAAATAGTATTTCTTTTACGTCTGCGTTTTTCTTCTCAAGAGCAATTTTTCCGTTGCTTTGCTGGGTGTTTAAAGTCTCGAGCTGCGATTCCAAACGACACTTGGCTTCAATCTCGGACTTAAGTGTCATTTGCACACTGCTCAGGATCTGCTCCTGCTCAACAATGTTGGCCTCCAACTGAGAAATTTTCTCCAGTGCCAAATGCGTCTCTTGCTCTTTGACCTTCAAAACCTTAGCACTCTCTGCCAGCTCTTGGGACAAATTAGCCACGTTTTGTTTTGTTTCATTGAGTTCCTCCTCCACTCGAGCCAACTCATCCTCCTTTTCATGGACCGTTTGCTCAAGGTTCCTCAGAGCCAGGCTACTTTCCTCCAATTGCTGCTCAATCTGACGAGATCAAAACAGTAAATAAATCTATAACATAGTAATGATGTTAGCAAGTACCGAGTCTAATTTGGTCTGTTTTTCCGCAAGGTGTGAGGTCACTTGCTCGAGCTTATCATTGGCCTCTTTGTAACGACCTTCAATCATCTTCTGGTTCTCAGCACTCTCAAAAAGAGACTGCTCAAGAATTAGGACCTGCTCAAAAGCATCCTCAGCCAACTTGGTCTTATCGGAAAGCTAGAAGTTCAAATTAATTATTTCTGCCACACATGCTAGGAAAAATATTACCAATTTAGAATTATCTTCCAGTTTCTCTTTCAGGGCTTCGGTTTCAACAAAACTCAAATTCAGCTGCTCTTCAAGCTGGCCAATCTTTTCCATCCTAGAGGCTAATGTGTTGTTCAGAGTGACTTCTTTGCTTTCAGCTTCTTCAAGCTTGGCGCAAGTCTCTGAGAGACAACTTTCAGACGCAGCAAGATTGTCAGTCAGCAACTGAACATGGGCTCGGCTTTCCTTCAGATGGACTCGTTCTCTGCGCAGGGCCTCAATGCAGTCAGCCAGTTCCTGCTCCTTGTTGGCGAGACAAGTGGTCAGCTCGGTAAGAGCGGTCGAGGTCTCGGATAGTTGACGGGACATCTCCAGCAGACTTTGTTCCTTGCTTTCCAGACTGCTCGAGAAGGCTCGCTTGCTCGTTACAGATTCATTCTCCTCACCTGAGTAAAAAAAAAACACATTTAAATGTGGTCAAATGAAACAGAAATAAAATCTTACGTTCAAGTTTTTCCTTCAGGTTGGAAATATCCTGCTTGGCATCTTCGAGCTGGCGAGCAGCTGAGCGCAAGGCATCCTGGTCCGACTCAACCCTGGACTGCAGCTCGGAGACCTCAGCCTTCGAGGACTTGGCCTCTTGGTGTGATTGGGAAAGCTGTTCCACCAGCTGGTCCCTCGCTTCCGAAGTGGATGCCAAGATTTCCTGAGTCGTCGAGAGCTCGTGACGTGTGCTCTCCAGAGACACCTCCAATTTCTTGATGTGCTCCTCCAACTCAGCCCTTTTGCTTTCCAAATTAACCACCTGAATTCCCAGAGTGGCTCTGCACTCCTGCAACTCCCACTCGAGTTCCTCAATGTGGCGGTTCAAGTTCTCAGACTCGTTCTGAAAACCATTAATATAAAATCAATTTCAATTATCAAACTTTTTCTACCTCCAGTTTGTCTTTCTCTTTGGCGACGTGGGTAAATTTCTCCACACTTTGGCTCAACTCGCAGCACCTTTCATTGTAGTCCTGCTTCAAGTTGTTGTGCTCAACGAGCTTTTCATCCAAACTGGCCTTTGTCTGTTCCAATTCCTGCTTGGTTGATTCAAAGTCATCTTTGTATCGAGCGGCAACCAGAGTCACCTCTTCGAGTTCCGATTTCTGCCTCTCAAGCTCCTCGACCTTGGTGCGCATCACCTCTGTTGTTGCTGCCAATTCAACCTGGAGTTGGATAATTATTTTTACTTAAGTTTTAATTGAAGCTACCAAATTACCTCAAATTTGATAACAGACTCCTTCAAAAGTCTGCACTCGGCCTCAACACCGATGAGGCCAGCTTCCTTTTGCTGCAAATCGGCCTCGAGCTTTTTGCAACTCTCCTCAAACTCGCTGATTTTTTCTTTGGAAATCACCAACTGGTTTTGAACCGACTCCAGACTGCGCGTTTTCTCACCAAGAGTTTTCATCGACTCGGCCAATTCGCACTGGCAATTATTCAGCTTCGAGTTTACTTCCTCAAGGCTGCCTTGCAACTTCAGTTCATTCGCGTGGGTTTTCTCCAAACTGCTACGAGTTTCACTGATTTCCATCTCCAACTGCTCGAGGGCGTCTCTCTGGCGAGTGATTTCACCAAGACGCTCCTCCATGGCAGCCTGAAATGTTCATGATTTCCATTGGTTTATTTAAACTAATCATTAAATAAAGGTTTTTCCTGTACCTGGAGTGAAGAATGGTCCTCGTTCAACTCGACGACCTTCCTCTGAATTGTGTCCGTTTCTACCCTGGACATGTCCAACTCCTCCAGGCACTTGACGAGCCTCTCCTCAAGGACAGTCCTGTCCGTTTCGAGTTGGACACGTTTTTCTTTCTCACCATTGATCATCCGGTCTTTTTTGTCAATTTCCGCCTCCAACTCTTGCAATCTGGTCATGAGAGACTCGATCTTCTTGGACAAAGTTTCAATTTCTTCGTCCTTTTCGATGAGCTTCAAGTCAGTCACGGCCTCTGCCATATTTTCTCCTACGCTTAAACGTGCTGAAATGAATGGAAAATCAATTTATTTCATTGCATTGCATTATGAAATATTACCAGGAGACATGGAAACGTCAAAGTCTGGTCTGTTCCTCGAGTAAAGCATTTCACTGATTTGCTCGTTCTCCAATTTCACCCTTTGCAGTTCTTGTCTGAGTTGAAATTCCAAGTCCTTCAGTGTCTCATTTTCACTCCTCAGCTGCTCTTCGCTTTCTCTGAAGTTCCTGCTGCAGGCTTCAGAGGCTGAGAGCTGCAGGAAATTTTATAAATATGTGTAACCATGTAAAAAAAACCTACCCTTTGAGCGAGTTTTGTTTTTTCCTCTTTCAGTTGGTTGAAATTTTCCACCAGACCCTCATGTTGGGCAACATGGGCTGCAAACTCTTCTCGCAGCTTTTGCAGTTCCCGAATTTTCTGCGTGTTTAAAGTCTGCAGTTCTTTGTTGTTTTCTTTCTCGTTACTCAGTTCTTTTCTCAGAGTGTCCGACTCTTCCTGAAGGTTTTGGCTTCGCTTGGCTGAGAAAAAAAATATTTTTAAATAATTTTCAAAACTAATTTTGTACAAAAGAATTTTATTTTAAATTTGCTATTAATAAACAATGAATTATAATAATTACTCAAATCTTTGGATTTGATTTGTTCGTCCTTGAATCGCCTCTCCAGCTCGGCGTGCTTTTGCTGCACATCCTCCATTTCATCCTCAATGTCATCTATTTGGCGTTTCATCCTTGAAACTCTATTGCGGTCCTATTTAAAAGTAAAACAGTGAATTAATGGAAATTCATTCGACGCAAATTAAAATTATAGCGTAAAAAGTTGAGAAAAGCCAGCGATTGAGTGGTCTTACTAGTAAAAATTGTGAAACAATTGCTAGTCCAGAAATCATCACAACAGCTACGTCAAAATGGTTAAAAATTAAAAATAAATCTTTTATGATAAACTTAATTTGCTTAATTTCTTTGACACACAAGTTTAAAAAGTAAAAACCAGAGAGTGCAGTCAGAAAAGCGTGCGTTCGGAATAAAAGGTGAGCTGCAAGCGTGCAAGTCTCTCGAAGGCGAAGGCAAAGTCAACACGAGCATGCGAGTTTGAGCAAATTACCGCCGTGTTTGTTCTGTGCACGACCCGACCGATCTGTGCTCGCGGCGTCAAAAATCGTTTGTCCCCGCTCAAGTTCTGCATTTCAACCTGCATTCGCAAAATTCATCAGATTCTTGTCAATAAATTTCTGTCGGTCTTTGGATGAGCGAAACGTAAATTCCTGCGATTATTCGATGAGGAAAAAATAAATCACAAACAATTCACGTAAATTATTATTAGAGTTTCCAAGTTGAGATCACAAACGAAAAGAAAGCAAATTATTATAAATTTAACGATGAAATCTTGAAAAGGATGCGGTTTGTGTCAAATCTTTGCGAGACGAATTATCCACTTTCTTGAATTGAATGCACCGAAAAAATGACGTCAATTGAAAAAGTGGTTTGTCATTTACAATTAAAATAAAATAATTAATCGATTCCACTTGCCTTAAAGTAAAAATATCACTTTGGAAAACGAATTTAATTCGCACATCTGTTGATTTTTTGTTGATGGTCGTTGGTTGTTTGTTAACCGTCGTTTCGATTTGTAGTTCGTTTTTCTGCCACTCTCTTCTGCCGGCGCTCTGAATTATCCGCAAATAGAGACGCAGACGCCAGCTATGTCCAAGAATGTCAACTAAACCATTTTGAACTGCTCTCTTATCCATCCGTCGGCGGCCCGTGCCCGCGAGTGTGGTTTTCATTACTTAAATATTTCTTTTCTGCCATAACAATAAACGATTTTAAATTATTTTTTCAAATTTTTTTTATGATTGAAAAGAATACACGAAAGTTTTAACTTACTTGAGAGGCAGTTGAGAGGGATTTTGCATTTTGGGCGTAAGAAATTATTTCGCGCCTCCCCTCTTGTTCTCATACCTGAAAATTGCCTTCCACCTGAGAGGAAAAGGTGGAATCTGGAATCATAACAAAAACAAGACGCGGGCGCAGGGAGTTTATAAGAAAAATAAGACTTGAAATTATATTATTTGTTTTCCGATGGTGTGAGACGGTTGAATGTAAAGGATTTTAAATTCACTTTGAAGGTATATCACATAAATTACATAAGATAAAACTGATTTTTTATTTGTTTTCAAAATTAATAAAAATATCCAATATTTTGTAGCTATGTCGCTCTACTTCAACTACAAGGTAGACCTATTTTCGAGCAACGCGATCCACGTGAATGCCTCGCTTCACTCTCAACACAAAATTTTGGCGGTCGCCTCCCACAGCGAGGAAAAAGGAGGAACAGTCACACTTTGCAACGACGAGGTTTCAAAAGTTACCAAAAAAAAAAAATGCAATTAAATTTTTAATCAAAATTTTTAGGGCGAACTGGTCAAAGGAGTCTCATCGACGGCCCAAATCGCCGCCCAGGCAGTGTCGCTGGCGTGGCACCCTGTGGAAAAAATCCTGGCCGTCGGCTGGGAAAACGGAGGCCTCAGTCTGTGGCTCGAAGACCGACTGCAATTTGTCGAAGTCAACTCGCCACACAAAGCGCCGGTCGGCATTCTGCAGTGGAGCTCCAGAGGCTCCAGACTGGTTTCGGGCGACGCAGTAAATTGAAGCAAAATTAAAAAAAAAAAATTAAAAAATATAATTTAAAATACAGGTCGGGACGGTTGTGGCCTGGCGAGCCGACTCGAAAGGAATTCTGCAGCCCAGTTTTCAAACAGATCTCAAAGAGCCGTTGACCTGCTGCGCCTTCCAAACGGAAAGTCCCAAAATTGATTTAAGGTTAGGAAATAATTTGAAATAAATGAGACAAAAAATTGAATTAAAATTTTGCAGCAATTTGGCAAAGGCGGCAGTGGCGGGCGACGAACTGGCCCTCGACCTCTTCAGCTCTTGGAGACCAAAAACCGCCTCGAACAGATTCGCCTCAAAATCTGCGTCGGACGAAGGCGTGGGATTTTTCATTGGTTCCATTTCAGGTAAAATAATTTTGAAATTCACTTACAAAAAAAATTATATAATTCTGAATTTCAGGAGCAATATATTATTTCGACGACGACGGCGTCGTCAGCGAAGTTTGCAACGAGAAGTCGCCAATCAAGAAAATTCTGTACCACAGCACAAAAGGTCAACTGGTTGTCCTGACCGACGGCCTTGTTCTGTCCCACTACAGCGTCCAGTCGGACGGAAAACTCATGGAAATCACAAGGCTCAAGCTCAGCGGAAGGTCGCAGGTGCGATTCAATAAAATAAATTTGGTAAAAGGAAAGAAATGGCACATTAAATTCAATTATTCTAATGGAATTTACAATATATAACGAAGATGTTGAATTTAAAGTTCCATTTTTTACTTTGACAATTTATGCTTCCAAAATGGAACAAATTTAAAATTTTAGAAAAAACATTATAAAATAAAATAATCGTAGGACGCGATTTTGGTTTGGTGCGGCCCGAACGCAATTGCGGTGAGCACGAGGGAGTTGTCCGTGCGTTGTCTCAACCTGGACACCAACGACAACTATTTGCTGACGCTGGAAAACCCTTCAGACCGAGAGCATTTCATTTGTCTGGACTATAATATGAACAGGGGCATCTTGAGCGGGGGCACCAATCTTGGCCGCGTTGCGATTTGGAAATATTCACCGTCGCCAGACGGAGATGCGGAATCTGCTTGGAAGCTACAAGTATTTTTATTATTATTTTTTTTCTAAGAAATTTAAAAAAAAACATTAATTATTTCAATACAAATTGTCTTCCTTAAAATTTTGATCCATTGCGGATTTTTAATTTGAGAAGAAGTTGAAATAAATAATGAGGTAGTTCATTTTTCTTAAACCATTTCTTTGGACTTGTACTTAAAAACTGAAATTATAAATTCCCATTAAAAATTTAATTGTGGTATTCTAGAAAAAAACAATTAGTAAAATGACAACCCATTGCAGATGCCAAACAAACTGACTGGCGGCGCCATTCAGCACATTTTGTGGGGCGTCGGTGGCTCCCTGTTGGTGGTGCACACTGTCAAGGAGATTTTCTTACTTCGAGAGCAGCAGGTTTTTTTTGTTCAAAAAAATTATATGAATTCGTTAAAATGTTATCGACTGAAATCTTAACCAGGTTTGCGCCGAGTTTTGCCCAGATATGAGCGCGGTGCAGGTGGCGCCGAACCAACTGACGGTTTGGCACCCCGAAGGCCCAATGGAACTTTGCTGCGACACGCAAATCAGGGGCATCGCCCTGACCGGCCAGCAAGTGGCGATTTGGGGCACGAAAAGGATCACGGTCTACGAGTTGAGTCAGAAGCACTTCAAAGTGGTCGGCTCTTTTGCTTGCGAATGCGTCGGGGCCAAAATCTACGAACACAGTCTCTACTGCATCGAAGGCAGCAACGTTCAGGTAAAACGTTTGAAAATTAATTTAATTGAGATAAATCCAATTTAATTTAATTTTAATCTTTATAAAAGAAAGAAGAAACATTTTACCTTTGAAAACTTTTAAAAATTCAAAATTTTTAGTAATTTACGTATTTAATCAATCAAATTAAATAAATTTTATTTCTTTTTAAAAAATACAATATTTTTTTTTATTCTTGTTAAAATGTCTAGAATTCAGTTTTATAATATTTTTTCAATTTAATTCAATTAATTTAAATTATATTTAATTATAATTAAAAATAATATATTTTTTGCATCTTAATTATTCAACATTTTAATAATTAATTTGAACTATTGTTTTAAGGTTCGAACGACCCAAGGCACTGTGAAGCAAAGCCTGGCTTTCGCAGCCGACGAAGGCGAACCGATCGGAATCGAACTTTGCGGCAGTTATCTGACCGTGGCGACTCTTTTTGGTTGGGTCAAGGTTTGGGACTTGTCGCGGCGGGAGGCCAAGTTGCACACAAACCCCAAATACTTGAACGACGTCATTCACGATTTCGGAGAAATTATTCTGGCCAGGTAGAAATCATCGAATTAAGGATTCAATTTCTGATTTTAAAATTTGTTTTAAGATCGAACTGCGAGGGGAGCAAAGTTTCCATCACCGTGGCGAGATCAAACTTGTTACCGGACAGCAAATTGTACCTCTGGTCCACAGACACGGACACGCTGACGTCTTTCGATTTCTCAACGCAGGAGGCTGCACTTGCCGATCGATTTGCTTTGAGTCACGTTTGGGACATTGAGGAGCCGAAACTTTTAGTTTGCGAGGCGAAACTTCAGCCGCGCTTAAAAGATCAGAGGAATAAGCGGAAAGTTGTGGCGACGACTTTGGCCAATTCACCAGAAAAAGTAATTTTACGGATTTTTTTGTTTTGTTTTTTATTCATCCTATGCTAATTTTCTCCTTTTTAGCCGGAAATAATGCTTGTTACGATGTTTGCGACAACCGAAGGGCAGCTTCTGATTCAAAACAGTGACATTTTGTCTGACCCGTTCTGTCGGCTCATTGGAGCTTTTGCTCCGAATTACGTTTTACTGAAGAAACCTTCAGGATTGGAAAAGGTGTCGATATCATAGGACTTCTTTGTTAATTTGTTTTCAACTGATTTATTTTTAGGAGGGTGACGCGGGTCTGGTGGCCAAAGTCTTGATGCAGGACTTTGACGGGCTCGGGAGCTGCGACAAGTCAACCAAAGATGCAATTTTAAATTTCAGTTATTATCTGACCGTCGGCAACATGGACGAGGCGTTCAAGGCTATAAGAGCGATAAAAATGTAACAATATCTTTTTTTTTCAAGTGAAAAATTAATTAGAAAAATGTATCAGTGCCACCGTTTGGGAGAGCATGGCCAAAATGTGCGTCAAGACGAAGAGATTGGACGTGGCGTTGGTTTGCCTTGGACACATGCAACACGCACGCGGCGCCATGGAATTGAAAAAGGCGATGAGCACCGAACCAGAACTCGATGCCCAAGTGGCCGTCCTGGCGTTGCAACTTCATCTGAACGTGAGTTTATTCAGATCCAATGAATTTGTAAATTTTAAAATTCAAATAGGACGAAGCTGAAAAGCTTTTGAAAAATTGCGGTCGCTTCGATTTGCTGAACAAATTTTACCAAAACACTGAGCAGTGGGACAAAGCAATTCAAGTGGCCGAAACGCAGGACAGGATCCACATGCGGACCACTTATTACAATTACGCCAAGCATTTGGAATTTATTGGTATTTTTTTTCCTCATTAATTTCCGTTAATTTCAATTATTTGAATTTTGCATTTTATGATAGGTGATCTCAATAATGCGATTAATATGTACGAAAAGTCTGAAACGCACCGTTTTGAAGTTCCGCGAATGTTGATGGAGGACCAAAATCTAGAGTTCTACATGACGAATAACAAGGACCCGTAATTTAAATTTAAATATTTAATTAAAATAGATTAAACGTTTATTTTATAGGCATTTGATGAAGTGGTGGGCTCAGTATTTGGAGAGCAACGGCGACATGGAGGGAGCTTTGGAGTATTACGAAAAGGCCGGCGACTCTTTGTCTTTGGTTCGCGTGCACTGCTTTTGCGAAAGCTTCGACAAGGCCGTTCGAATCGCGTCCGAGAGTGAAGACAAGGCGGCTTGTTATCACTTGGCGAGACAGTTGGAAAACGCAAATAAAGTGGAAAAGGCCATCGAGTTCTTCTGCAAAGCGCAAGCTCACGGAAACGCGATTCGATTGTGCAAGGTGAAAAAAAACGACTTGATAAATTTTGATGCTAATTTTTGGTTAGAAGATTAGAGTTCCAAGGAGGCATAACAAGAAAAATTAAATTCATTCAGAGAACTGAATTTTTTAAATTGAACATTGTTTTTTATATAGGAATTTTCTTTATTCTGAAAATTGGGCCGACCAAAATTGATTAAAATTTCATTAAATCACGTTCATATCACCCCAATTAAATGGAAAAAGAAAATCAATAGGTCAGTCGACCTATTGAAAAAAAAAATTTCCATTGGTCTAATAAGAAATGGGTTCAGAGAATTTAATTTCAGTGTAGATATCAATAAGCTCCTTGTTTATAAAAAATTTTAAGATTTTCGTTCAATTCAGGATCAAGGATTGAACGAGCAAATCTGGAGCTTGGCTTTGAAAGCGAATCCGCAAGACCAACTGGAAGCGGCGCAGTATTTTGAGCAGCGACAAATGCCAGAGCGGGCTGTGCGCCTTTACCACAAGGCTGGAATGCTCCACAAAGCAGTAGATTTAGCTTTCCAGTGAGATCAAAATTTGTTTAATTTCCTGGTTTATAATTTGTATATTTTAGAAACCAGCAGTACAGCGCTTTGCAGAGCATAATAGTCGATCTGGATTCGAGCTCGGACCCAAAATTATTGGGGAAATGCGCCAAATTTTTCGTCGATAACAAACAGTTCGAAAAGGCGGTCGACATGCTGGCCATCGCCAAACAGGTAAGGCCGAGTTAAATAAAAAATGAAAAAATAAATCAAAAGGTGAATTAGTATGATGCTGCGATAGAATTGTGCGTGCAAAACAACGTGCCGATAACGGAAGAGCTGGCCGAACGCTTGACCATGGAAAAGGCGGAAAACAACGAGAGGTCGCGGATTCAGGTGCTGCTGGCCGTGGCCCAAAGTGCGCACATCCAGGGAAACTACCACTTGGCGGCGAAAAAGTACACCCAAGCCGGCGACAAGGTAAATTTCTATTTATTTAATTACATTCTGATTAAAACGATTGAAAAGGTGCGGGCGATGAAATCTTTGTTGAAATCTGGAGACACTGAGAAAATCATCTACTACACGAATGTGTCCAAGCAGAGGGAGATTTACGTGATGGCCGCGAATTATCTGCAGTCGTTAGATTGGAGAAACAGCCCCGATATCATGAAAAACATCATCGCGTTTTACTCCAAAGGAAAAGCTTTGGATCTCCTTGCAGAATTTTACGTCGCGTGCGCCCAAGTAAGACAAAATTCAGAAGAAATAAATAAATTGAAATATGATTTGATTTAAAGGTGGAGGTCGATGAATTTCGGGATTACGAAAAGGCTCTTGGAGCGTACATTGAGGCTAGTCGGTGCATCGCAAGGGGAATAGCTTCAAATCGAGCGAGTGAGGGAATATCGGTCGACGACCAGAAGCGGCGCGGACACGAATTGGCTCAGCGACTTGATCTCATCAAAAAATACGTCGAGATCAAAAGGTGGGTGTGGAATTTGGCGAAATCCGAGCCTGATGTTGCCTAATTTCAGACTTTTCGAACGCGAGAGTGACTCCGCTGTGGCCTTGAGTCGGGAGCTGCTCAAAGTGCCCGAAGTTGAGGCGACCGTTCGCAAAGGGGACATTTACGCTCTGATGATCAGCTACCATTTGAAAAGCAAAAGTCTGCCCGCGGCGTCCAAAGTTTTGGAGGAAATGAAAAGCGTTGGGATTAACCCGACTTTCTACTTGGACGCCGAGATGCTCAGGGCTTTGGGCGTGCCAGGGCAAAGCCAGAGTGAAGCAGCCGCAAAACAGGACGATGACGAAATTGAAGAACATGTTGAGGAGGATAATAGTTTAGGTGCTGATTTTTAATGTATTATGACCAAAGAAATTGGTTTTGATTTAATATCAGGCCAGAAATTATTTAAAAAAGTTATTTTTTATTTATTTTCATGTTCAATTTTCTTCGTCTGAAGTCATTGGGATAGAATCAAAAAGCATTTGAACCCAGTCGTACTCGATGCTAGCCACGGATTGAAGATTGCTCTCTTCAACAGGGAGCAATTTTTTCGACTCTGATTTGCTCTTCTTTTTCCTTACCTTCTTATTTATTTCTTCAGCGTCAGAATCAGAAGAACTTTCCTCGACAAATTCCATAGCGACAACTCGAGATACCTCTTCTCTTGGTTTCAGTTTGGCACCAGATCTGAAATAATTTATAAAAACTTGGCCTTTGCTAAGATTATTAAGCTTTTTACTGGATATTGAGGTATTCCTGGATTAGATCCCCGACTAATAATTGTACCGGTGGAAGCATATGGGCTGGAGTTTCGCACATCTAAAATGAGGGAAATTTGAATATTGATTTGCTTTACAGGAAAATATAGTTTTAGATTTACCATTTTTAAGAAAGAACCCTGGTGGGCGTTAACTTGTTGTTTCCACATGGGCAAAGGTTCGATCTTTTTCACTTCAGACAGAGTTTGTTTTGCCACGAACGCAGCCAGCGGCGTTGCAAATGCATTTTCGTCTTGGGGAAAAACAAGAGGGCTGGTTTCGTCAATTCGCAAATCATCCGACGACTTCAATGTATAAATTTCCTATCACCAAATTAAATTAGGAAATTTTAGCAAATGGTGAAAATATAAATACCTGATTTTCTGTCATGAAGTAAAGTTGTGCTCGACGTTGCCAGGAAATTTTTGTTTTCTGCACCTCATTGTGTGGCAAGTACAACGCAGAACTAACTTTCACATCAGTCAATATTTTCTTCTTAAAAATAGGACAACTTTCAGAAGGCGAGAATACAACCACTGAAAAGTTAACTTTGGTTTTTATAAAAACGTCATCAATTATTAGAACTTACGCTCCCCATTTTCAGCAAATGCTGCCATGTGATCGTTTGTTGGGTTTGCTGCCAAGAAAGAAACTTTCAATCTAATCATCCTCACCAGCTGCAAAGTAATTAAGTCCCAAGTGGAGATTTTTCTGTCACTGGCTGCTACCAAATATCTGCTAGACTGGTCATTGCCGAATTTGATGAAGCTTGTATAATTTTTCAGTTGAGAAATCAGCCGCAAAAAAAATAGTGCTTAATATTACTTGATTCTCTCGGGTGCATCGGGTCTGGTCAAACAGCTCTTCATCTCATTACTTCGAGAGTCCCAAACGGACAAGCAGTTTTCAAAGCCCACAGCAAAGATGGAGCCATCACGGGAAAAATCGACAGGTCTGGGAACAAGTTCATCCAACTTTCCAACAAACTCCAGCTCCCAGTTATTGTTCTCTAGAGAAACTTATTGCTATAGTTGACGAGAATTTTACTAAATTCGACAAATACCTTCAGTTTTAAACCAGATGATGAATTTTGAGTTCATTCCTGTACTGATAAGTCTGCAACAGTTTTCTTCGAAAGCAGGTTGGAAGATGATGTCGTTCACTTTGCGCTGGTGTGGGTTTTCAACACTTGTTTGCAGCTTAAACCTGAGGTTAATCGAGAAATTTAAATTAGTTTATTAAAATTAGGCTTAAGTACCTGTGCTGCCAATCCCAGCTCCAAAATTTGAGTCGACACTCGTAGTGATGTTTTCCATCGTCTCTCTCTTCTACCGTTGCAAGCCAGTTTCCATCACTGGAAACTGCCGTCATCACAACTTCAGTGTTCACCATTTCAACACCTCTTTCTTGATTTAAGAAATTTTGATGCACAACATCTAGCTGAAATTACTTTGTATTTTTAAAAAGACCTCAGCATGAAATAAGCTCACTAAGAAAAGGTAGGACTGGTTTTCAATTGAGTAGAATTGAACGTGTCCCGAGCGACCGTTGACCACAATTGCTTTTGTCTTTGGGTCAAAGGCCATTCTTGCTAACACAGACTTTGCCTCTGCCCTGTCTTCGAAGTGCGTTGAAACGTGCTGAATGGTCTGGCAGATTTTCATTTGGGAATTTACAATGTTGATTGCTGGAAATTCAGGTAAAATTTTAGTATTTTAAAGTTAAGTTTAAGCACTTAGTGTACCATTGTCTGACATTCCTGTAGCTACGTATTTATTGTCAGGTGAGATGACGATATTTTTTATCGTGGCTTCCATATTTGGAAGGAACTCTTTCGAGTCGCTGCCGTCGAGCCACCACTTGACCAAAACGGTCTCTCGGCCGCCGGAATAGAAACTGCTGGCCTGGTCGGTGAAAACGATGTCATTGACTGGCAGTTTGTGCCAATGGTGCAGAGTTTTGATGCTTTGAAGAGTCATTATGTCCCTCCAGAGCAAGATTCGACCAGACTTGTCGCAAGTGGCCACCAAGTTCAATTTAGGATGGGCTCTTACGCAGGTGAAGTTACCCCAGTCCGGGTTCACTTTGTGCCTAGAAATTATTTTGGTTAAGAAAACTTGATATTTTAAAACTTTGGCACATACTTGAATTTTTCTAAAGTTTTTAAATTTATTATTCGCAAGTTGCAGATGTGGATTGTAGCCAGAAAAACTTCACTTTGAGAACCACCAACTGAGGAAGTAAACATTCCCAGTTGTCCTATGGTGGGAAGATCTTCCTTCTCATTTGAGTCGAAATCATATTTGACAAACTTTTTAATGGACTTCTCTAAATTTTCAACAACAACAATGCCGCTCTTTTGTGTTGCCCAGTGGAAGCCAGAAATTTTCTTTCCTTCCGACAAGTGAAGAGACAAAATCTATCAAACAAAGTATCAGTTGAAGCTTAAAACTTGGTGAATAATCAAACCTTTTTGTTTTCAAAGACACCCGTGTCTTGTTTCCAGGTGATCAGCTCTCCGGCCGATGTAAATGCGTGAAGTAAATTTGAATCAGAGGGGTTGGCGATCAAAGTGACGATTTTCGCATCGGTCGGCGTTTCCAGTTTCTGCACAAAATGGCCAGTTTTCGTGCTGTACTGCCGCACGCCGTCGTCCCAGATTATGTACAGAGATCTACATAATTGACAGTTAATAATTTAAGAGTTAATAATATGAAGCAACGATGAAAATCTTACAGCGAATCGCTGGAGAACAAAGGTCTGTGTTCGGTGATGGAACCGCCAGCGACCCGTTTCAGCACAACTTCCTCTCCGGTTGAAATCATTTTACGGACATTCCAATCTTCTACTATCAGCCGGTGAAACTGTTCTTAACTTATCGTGGGTTGAAAGTTAAGAAAACTTTTAACTTTTAAAATACTTTTCTAAACGTAAACACACGTAAGAAGCAACGTGAGAAGCCACATGGTTTTTTTGAACCTGATCGGTGATCAGGTATGACTGAAAAGGAGAAGCGCTGCAGTTGCCAAAATACCAAAGCGCGAAATTCAAATTAACACGGTTGGTATCGGAACCTTCAGTACCAACCATCTCGCTCCTTTAAAAACTATGCACCTTGGTTGAAAAGTCGTCGTAGTCAGCCAACATAGTCAGCTTTGGAAAATGTGTTTGGCATGAAAATCATTAAAACATAATTTCTTTGTCGGGAAGTTAACATTTTCAAGCTGTTCTTTAGTGAATTATTCTTCCAACTATGAATCAATTTAAAAATCATCATCGTGTTGTACGCATTTCAAAATGAAGAACAGGTTCAATTCCTTGGATCTTGTGTGCTCAGTAGTTGAGCTGCAAAAGTTAGTGTTTTGATTTTTTCGAATTTTTATTCCATAAATTTAGCCTTGAAATAGGGTGACATGAATTATTTACAATATTTTTTCACTCTCTAGAGTCGTTGGTCTGAGACTGCAGCAAGTGTACGACATAGATCATCGTACTTATCTGCTCAAATTGCAAGAAAAAGATGACAAGGCCGTACTTCTCATCGAATCTGGCAACCGAATCCACACCACAGCCTTCGAGTGGCCGAAGAACATGGCCCCCTCTAGTTTCAGCATGAAGGTTCGATTTTGTTAAAATTTAATTATAACAACAGGTTTTTTTAAATTGGGTTTTGTGCTGTAAACAATTTTATTTGATCAATTTTGTTAATATGTTATTTTCGTCTATCATAGATGAGGAAGCACTTGAAGAATAAAAGACTTGAGTCGCTGACTCAATTGGGCATTGATCGAGCCATTGATCTGCAGTTTGGTACGGGCCCTGCTGCATACCACTTGATTTTGGAGCTTTACGACAGAGGCAACATTATCCTCACCGACTGTGACTTTGTCATCCTGAATGTCTTGCGGCCACACACCGAGGGAGAGCAAATTAGGTATGTAATATAAATTAATAATTATTAAAATTTTCACTCACAATTGTTCACTTAAGGTTTGCGGTGAAGGAAAAATATCCTCAGGATCGAGCTCGAACCAGGCAAGGTGCACCCGATGAAGAAAGACTGAAGAAAATCTTTAGCAAAGCTAAGCCAGGAGATCAGCTGAAGAAATTCCTTGTGCCTAACACAGGTAATTTTATTTGGCAAAAACTGATTTCCAGTTTGCTAAATATTTATTTTAACGTTGATTAGATTACGGTCCAGCTCTAATTGAGCACGTCCTTCTGGGAGCTGGTTTTCCACCAAATGTGAAGTTTGGAAAAGATTTTAATTTGGAAGAAAACTTTGGAAAAATTCATGATGCCCTGTGTGTGGCAGACGAGATTCTTAACAAGGCGTCCACGGAGCCATCGAAAGTAAAATAAAAACTTGTAACATAAATTTGTCTTTATTCTCTCAAATTTGGCATTAGGGTTATGTAATCCAAAAGAAAGAGGCTAAAGTTCACGAGGAAGGTGAAATTTTGACCAACGTAGAGTTCCACTCGATGCTTTTCAAGCAGAATGAAGGAAGACCATATAAAGAATTCCCGTCCTTCGATGCAGCGGTCGACGAGTTTTTCTCCAGCTTGGAAGGCCAGAAAATAGAGCTGAAAGCTTTGCAGCAGGTCTTGATTTTGATGGTTTTGAGAAGCGTTTATTATCATTATTGTAATTATTTAATTAGGAACGAGATGCCATGAAGAAATTGGACAACGTCAAGAAAGATCACGACCAGAGACTGAAAGCCTTGTCTGAAACTCAGGAGAGTGACCGGAACAAGGCTGAATTGATAACCAGAAACCATGACATGGTGGACCATGCAATTCTTGTTGTTAGGTCTGCTCTAGCAAAGCAGGTTTGATAAAATAAAAAAGGCAGTTAAAAAAAATAAACTTGATTTACGTTAGATGTCATGGCCAGATGTTGCAAGGATGGTCCAGGAGGCCAAGCAGCAGAACGACCCTGTCGCCTCGGCAATTGTAAATCTAAAGTTGGAAGTAAATAATATCACAATGCGCTTGGCGTGAGTTCTGGATTAAACTGTTTTGGGCTGATAATTCTATCTTAACTTTTACAGTGACCCATACAGCACTGCAGTTAGTGATGACGAAGGCGAAACAGGCCTTCAACCTACCCTAATTGACATAGATTTGGATTTGAATGCTCATTCTAATGCCCGAAAGTGTGTTTTTAAATTGATATCATTGAATGAGAAATAAATTTTTAATATGCCAGGTACTATGATCAGAGACGATCGGCTGCAAAAAAACAGCAGAAAACAGTCAAGTCGCAGAAAAAAGCTTTAAAGTCTGCTGAAAAGAAAACTAAGCAAACTCTTAAAGACGTCCAGACAGCCACGAGCATCCAGAAGGTCCGCAAAGTCTTCTGGTTTGAGAAATTCTTTTGGTTCATCTCGTCTGAGAATTACCTTGGTAAAACTAAAGCAATATTTCAGGTTGATTAAATCCGTGAATAATTAATTTTGATCACAGTTGTTGGTGGTCGAGACCAGCAGCAGAATGAGTTGGTTGTTCGGCGATATTTGAGGGCGGGGGACATTTACGTCCACGCCGACCTCCAGGGAGCGAGCAGCATTGTTATTAAAAACCCCAGTGGCGATCCGGTGCCTCCGAAAACTTTGAACGAGGCTGGCATCATGGCCATTTGTTACAGTGTGGCCTGGGAGGCTAAAGTTACTTCTGGAGCTTGGTGGGTGATCAGCAACCAGGTGTCGAAGACTGCGCCCACGGGAGAGTACTTGACGACGGGCAGCTTCATGGTGAGGGGCAAGCGAAATTATCTGCCGCCGACTCAGCTCGCCATGGGATTCGGGTTTCTTTTCAAACTCGAGGAGAGTTCCGTCGCCCGACACGTGGACGAGCGGAAAATCAGGACCACGGAGGAGGAGGAGGACATGTCTGAAATATCATCTGTGAATGACCAGGAAATTGAACTTGAGGGTCCAGATGAGGAGGGTGATGAACCTGAGGGTTAGTCATTGAAAATGGAAATAAATATTATTGTTCATAAATATTTTTACAGCTACACTTGAAAATTTAAAAGAAATGACTATTAAAGAAGAACCTGAAGAAAATGAACCGGCTAAAAGCGAGTCGGATGAAGAAGATCAAGGTACCTAAAAAATTTTTGAAATTATATTTTTCTAACCCCTTCTGAATAGATAATTCGGAGGAAGGAGAAGACAATGTGGCCTCTAAATCAAAACAAATTGAGTTTCCTGATACGGAATTGAAGCTGCCACTTCTTGGAGAATTGTAGGAGCTCATTTGATAATAATTTTATTTCTTCCACTCACTTTTATCATATATGTGGCAGAACTAGTGGCACTCAACTGGCTGACACTGACACATTTGTCATCGGAAAATCTGTTTCCATCCCTAAGAAAACGGCTAAAAAAGATGTGGATAAAGGTCTGTAGCTCAATTATCCATAATAAAACTTACCAAATTATTATTTTTAATTAGAAGCAAAAGCAGAAGCAGCGAAGCAGTATCAGCAGCAGCAACAGATGAAAAGAGGACAGCGAGGAAAATTGAAAAAGCTGAAGGAGAAATACAAAGATCAAGACGAGGAGGAACGGCAGCTGCGAATGCAGATTTTACACGTTAGTTTATTTGCTGAGATAAGATAAAAAGATAGAAAATTGAATATTTTTTTTTATGGATTCAGGGAGTTGATGGTGGCAAAGCAAAGAAAGACAAAGGAAAGAAGGAGTCGGAAAAACCCATCAGCAATAAGCAGAAGCAGCAGGCCAAAAAGCCAAAGGCCGGACCTTTCTGTGATAGAACGGAATTCGTTCCTGACCAACTTCCACCTGATGAGGCTGCGGAGTTGGACACGGAGGCGGCCCCCGTCACTTCTGACCTCGAAACACTCAACTCGCTGACCGGTCTTCCCGTTGCCGAGGATGAGCTTTTGTTTGCCGTGCCCGTTGTTGCCCCGTACAATACTCTTACAAATTACAAGTAAGGCTCGTCAATCAACTTTTTGTCAATATTTGAAATTCCAACCATTTCAGGTATAAGGTCAAGTTGATGCCAGGCACTGGGAAAAGAGGGAAAGCCGCCAAAACTTCCCTGGCCATATTTTTGAGGGATAAAACTTGTTCTCAGCGGGAGAAGGATTTACTCAAGAGTGTAAAGGAGCAGGACCTGGCCAGGAATTTCCCCGGCAAAGTCCGACTCTCCGCTCCTCAAATGTTAAAGTCGAAAAAGTGAAAGAAAACTTATGTTAAAATTTTGCAGCAAAAAGTAATGCTCAAATTGGTTTTCTGCAGAAGTCACTTCTTTGTTTAATAATCTTTAAAGCGTTGATGAATAAAATATTTTTTTCTAAAGTGTAAAGCTAAACCCTATTAAATCGTGGTTATTTCACCCTCCTATAGATGTCGGTTGCCACTCTCAAGGGGGCAATTGAGAGGGATTCTCAAGCTGACCTACATTTTGCAAGTATATGAAAAATCAATTATGTCATACATATGCCAAAAGTGTACATGACATTTATGTGTTATTCAATTATAACAAAAAATTGATCAATTCCGTAAAATACGTAATATATTCCCTCGTAAAGTTAAATAAATTTTAACTTAATGGGATATTTTTAGTGAAAAGAGTGAACAATTATATAATATTATTAAACAGCATAAAAATTGAAAATTAATTCATTTAAGGTCTTGCCTTTAGTGCTGAAAAAATTTTTTCTTTTAAATCACTTAAATATATATTTACGAAGTTCAAATAATTACGTTCAGCGTTTTTCTCTTTTTAGCTCAATAAATGTTCCAGAATGTGCATCCAACTCAAAAAGTTTGACATGAAGTATTTTAATCTTGCCAATTATTTTTAAAATCGTGTTCTGGGACATACATTTGTTAAATACAGTTTTATGAGTTTTAGAATTAACCCTAAACTAATTAGATTTGAAAACTTAAATTATATTTTTGTTCATTTTCATATAATTTTTTAAATTGTTGCATTTTTTTAAAAATGGGATGTGCTCATCAATGCGCCTGTAAGATATTTTTGTAAAAGGTTCTTTTTTATTCTGAATGCTCAAAACTGTTCAAGTGTGTTTATTATTCCATGCAGAGAGCACCAATGACGTTATAAGCGAGAAAGTCAATACTTTGATGACGTCAGAGGGCACCGCGCAGACACCGCGCCGTTCTTTCAAAGCCTCATCAAATTACAAATCTCTCTGCCTGAAACAATTTTCCCCCAAAACTCTGCTTTCATCTTTTTATTACATCTAGCGGATCAATTTTTTATTTTCAAATTTATCAATAGAAAAATGATAATAATGAGACGGTGCCAGTGAAAATCCCACAAATTCTATTCAAATCTAGCGCGAAGTATTAATCAAACTACTTCTTTGCAAAAAACTGAGTTTCTAAAAATAAAATTTATTTGCTTCACTAACTAGCAGTAATTTATATAAAGTCACCAAATAAATCAAAATACGTAAAATTATCAATCGTTTTACAATTTTAATTTGAAGTGAAGACGCTTTTATGGTATTTGTTTTGACCAGCGTAGTGAAACAGGTTGCACTTGATCGGTGACGTCATTGGAATTGGTCTTTCTCGCTGTTGGAAGATGGCGTCAACAGGCAAGTTGTCGGATCAGGTGAGTGAGACATTACCTTTAATTTACCTTAATTTAACGGCCGAATTGATTCGGATCGGGTGCACAATGTTTCGGCACATTTTTCGCCACCGAATCGTGCCAAAATCTGGGCGATCGGCCGCGTCGATGGCCAGATTCGGGCCGACACTCGTTCTCCGTTGCCGCGGCCCATCAAAACAACAAAACCTTCGACCTGCCGAACGCCTTATTCGGCCTCCACCTTCCACCTGGCAACCGCTCGCGAATTCCTCTTTTGCCAATTATTCAGATTCCGAAATTTCGGTCCGATCCGCCGCGGCGGAAAATTTGTGAAAATGGAACGTTCTCGCGCCGTTTTGTTCTGCTTTTGCCTTGCATTGTCTCCAAGTCCACGCCCTAACTTTTTTTGTCCGCTTTGTTTTCACTTGACAAGAATGTGCTGGACACTTGACATGTTGTTTGAAGGCTTCTATTAATAGCAGGCCTAGACTCAACCGCTGAGACTTGTCGTTTTTAAAAACATCCGTTTTTAAATATTATAAACATCTCTTCAGGTATTAACGTTGAAATATTTTTATTTTATTTAAATTTAATTCACATATTAAAAACTTAATTAAAAACTTTATAAGGATTGCAGCAATTCCATTAAAGGGGCTGCAGCTTTTCCTCAAAGGGCGCTATTAATAATTAATTTGTTAAGTTGACGAGGCGTTTTTTTTTCTCATCCACACCTGCCGCACCTGTCGCAGGTTCAGGGGATGCGACGCCGTAAACATTTATTCGGAACCGCCGCCGCCGCCGCGGACAAAAGCCACCGCCCCTTCGCGTTATTTATTCACCAGAGACTGGCGTTATTTTCAGCACCGACAGAAATTCGCTTCCATAATTAAACGCGCTTATTCTCGCCTTTCCCAGAATTTTTGAATTTCCGTCTGGCCGAATTTTCAACTCAACTAAATTATATTTAGAGTTTACCGTAAATAAGTGATCGTTTTTAATCATTTGATATGGACAGAAAATAGTCCAGAAGCCAAAATAGGCTGCTGAAATTTTGTAAAAATAATCTCATTTGCACTTTTATATTTAGGTCAAAGGTCACTTTTTGGAACCTGAATATTTAATTAACCTGCCAAAGTACCTAGGAAGTAATTTTTTTTAAATATCCAAAATTTGCATATAATTTAGTTGTTAACAACATATTATAAAATTGTGATCATTTATTAATTCGTTTTTGAGATATTCAGAGTCATAGGGAAAAAACATGGTATTTCGAGCCCTTTTAATGCTAAATTAATTATCAACCGTAATAAATTTTCTGTCCCGGGCCAAGATGGGGCAACATGAAATTAAAATAAATTATTTAAAAAATTTCCTCTTTCCATTACAATTTAAATAGAAACTTTGAAATAAATAATCAATAATGCAAAGAACAACTCCAATCAATTTTGAAATCATTGCACTTTCTCTCACAATTACAGAATGTTTCGAAACTTAATTGCAGCAAAAACATTCTTCTTTGTGATTGATGAAGTCGGCCCTCGGGGTCCATCAGCTGGTCAAAAGCCTCGCCGGCCGAATTCAAATTGCAATTCATTTAATATTATCCAATTGACTCGGACCGAGTTCGTGTTTTCTTATTCCATTAATGGAAATCACGCGCGACCAACCGCGAGCTGAGCAATTCGCGGGCGCCGGCGAATTTTCTCGCGCGCAAACAAACACACCCCGTGCTGGCAAGTTAATTACTTTTAATTCGCGCAGTTGAGTGCTCGCTGCTAATTGTGGCGGTAGTAAAATGCACTTCACGTGACTCTTCCAGACGAAACGTTTATTAAAATAAAATTAACTAAATAAATGTTTTACTACATTTTATTTTAAAACAGTTTTTAAATCAATTAATTACTGACGATCGATGGTAAAATCCTTTGCAAAAATTATAGTTTAGAGGATAAGGATTATTTTGATGACCAGAAAAGTTAGGTCATCGCATAGATTTTTCAGAAAAGTTCAATTGGAGATTGAAAAATTGTTTTTCTTTTCTGGAATCCTCTTTTTTTCATAAAAAAAGAATAATATTTTAAAACTGGTTTTCCGCAATGAAAGAAATTGTCATTCTTTATTTATTCCTTAAAATACCAGAATAATAAAATTTGTAAATTTTATTTTCATATTTGAATTTTTGGCCGCTGGAGATAAATAAGGGTTCAAATTAATTTGAGTGATGATTTTTTAATTATGTCAGTGGCATGCCAAGGTATCTTTCCTCAATGGTCAACGGTCAATGACCCCGGAAAAGGTTAAATTGTAGGAATGACAAAAAAATTGAGATTGCCCAGAGATTCATAATATCAGGATAATTATAATAATTATATATTAAAATTTTAGTTTGGTTAACTTAATTTTTTTTAATGAGGATCATATTACAAAATAAATTGGGCATAAGATTGTTACTATTGCAGTCTGTCATAAAAAATTGTAGAAATAAAAATGAATAAAAGTTTTTACAACTTATAAATATTGAACTAATTTTTCTGGAACCGCTTTTATTGTAACTTAAAAATTAAGTGCGCAATTTGAGCAGCGATGCCCTTTTGGTCAGCGCGACCCCGACCTCTCAATGTCGTTTCTTTTTTTTACATTTTCTCTGTCTCTCTCTTGTGAGATGATTTTGGCCGCTCTCGGCGCATGGAAATTACGCATTCAAACAGAAAGTTTGTTCCAGCATAATAACCACCGAAATGTATAATAACCCACTTTTGCTCTTTGCCTTGGCAATTATCGTCGCGAGTTGGAGCAACGCATTGACAGGCGCGCGTTAATTCGATTTCGCATCGGATTAATTCCGGAGCGAGCGAGCCAAGAATTGTTTCCTTTGCAATTAGACGGCGGCGCGTGTGCCTCCTTTGAAGTGCAAAAATAATCGCCCCGGACCGATGTATGTGTTCATTGTGACAAGGAGACAGACAGACACACGTCTGCGTCGGAGGAGAATTGAAGGGAAAAAAAGAGCAATCATTTTGCCAAGTTGGAAGTTTATTTTTGTCTGGAACTCGGCAATTACACAGATTTAAAAATTTCCTTGACGATTATCTTTGAACTTATTTTAAAGTAGAATTTTTTGCAGGTTTTATTTGAAAAGGAGATTAATTATCTCTAAGTATTTAAATGAAACAGACTTTCACAATTGACATGAATTAAATTGAAAATAAAAATTAAAGAAAACTAACTTTCTGTAAATTTTTGCAACAAAAATGAGTAGGATTTTCTAAACATGCCTTAGAATTAAATATTTTGAATAAGTTTGGCTACTCAAATTATTTTGCTCTGCCAGAAAGACAGTTTAAAAGCAATTTTGCTTCTGCTGATTGGCGTGGCTTTGTTTGTTGGAAAACGCAATTTGCCGAAAGGAAGATTTGATCGATTCAGTGGCCGAGGCGCGTGCGGGGGTAGATTAGCCCTCTTTCATTATGCACGAACAATTTTCGCCACAAAAGCGCCGCGGGAGCCCATCTTGCCGAATTTGCTGCCTCTCAAATATTTATCAAGCACTTAACTCGAGACCGGGAATTTTTTCGCTTCGACAGAAACCGCGAGCGGGCTCATTGATTGATCAAGGGGTTAATTTAGCTGATGCTGTGGAATCAAGAGAGCCTTGCCAATTCATCCCAAGAGTTGCGTAATTTGTTTGCTTTTTAATTAGAATGAAGCTCATATTTGTCTTTAAATTCAATCTGCTGGAAAAAATTAAAAATAATTAATTATAATTTCCAACAAAACTGATTTTTTATTTTAATTTTTTATCACAACCATAATTGAAATAAGTAAAAATCGCAAACAATTTTAACTAAATTTTAAAATTTGCAGAAAAATATCCAAAATTTGGAAAGTTTCTTTCTCGGTCAGTTTGAACACTGTGTTAATTGTTGGTAAATTATGGGGAAAAGTTTGGCGCGTGCGCCGACGGCCGACGGCCGCCGCCGCGTCTTGCCAAATGCTCGATGGTGGGCAGCGTCGGGAATCGATGAGGAGACCGGCGGCGGCGGCACCTCACTCTTGCTTGGGTCGATGTTGCCGCCCCGGTGTGTCGGTCGCTCCAAGTCTAGGGCACAACGCGATATGCTTAGCAATTTCGAATTCGCTCCATAATGCATGTCTGCGCCGCTTTGTTTCGCTTCTTCTTTTACGACCGCTATTTTATTGCAGGCCATAAAGAGGCGTTTTATTTATTAATTTCATTCTGAAAGCAAGTGAATATGAAAATTAACGCAAAGTTTCAATTATGAACGGATTTGGTTTTTATATTTTAGTTTTCTCGAACCATTTGGGTTACTGGAAGTTTATTTATTTTGAAAACTAATAAATTTACAAATATTTTATTTCATTTTCAAATATTTTTATTACTGATATTTAAGAAAACAGAAAAACTTGTGCTTAAATTCAGACACTGCTGAAATGGAATTTAGAAACGAAACAAAAATTTAGGGGAAAAAATAAAAATTTGCTGAAACGAAGGTTGAAATTTAAAATTGTATTTTTAATTTGTTATGAAATTAAAATATTACTGGAATTTAAGCCTGCAAATTACATGGGAAATCTAACAACAAAAAGAGAAATCATGTGAGAATTTTTTGAGCATCCGAAGATCCTTTTTAAAAAGGAAAAGTTGGAGCAGGTTTTCTTGAAATTAAACAAAGTTTCTTCAAATCGTTTACTGGCGCACAACGTACACTATATTTGAAGTGTGTACGAGAAATATATAGTGCCGGGGCCGTCGTAAAAGTTTCCCGGCAGCAGAAACGCGGTGGCCCATATTTGCCAGGGCGGCAAGCGAGATGCTATCGATCTATCTAGAGAACATGCAGGCCTTTTTGCTCTCGTACTCGACTTTTCAAATTGTGTCCGGCCCGACTTTGAAACTTTGGAATCAACGGGAGCGATTGGCATCTGCACGAACAGCATAAAAGGTCTAATCACGATAAACAACACCATAACATGGACAAATTACCACTCTTTTCCCCTAC